CACACAAGACACCCAATTATAACTAATCAAACCCGATCGCAGAAATTCAAATCAGCCAATGAAACGAGAGCATTGAAGCGTTATCAACCAATCAAAATACATCAGGTGTACAACTCACCTGTCGATACACTTCACTGAATACTTACACCCAATACAAATACGCGTGTACATACATACATACATACATACATACATACATACATACATACATACATACATACATACATACATACATACATACATACTTGTATATATGTATAGTTGATTAAAATAATGGGTTCGTTTGTTGTTTTGTTTGTTTGAAATAATAGTCGTTTGTGATGATCAAATGTTAGTGTTGGTTTAACTTTGGAGTTCGTGGCCATAAGTTGGAAAATGTTTAAAACAAGTTCAGAATTTGAATAAAATTATCTCTGTTTATAGAATTAAGTTGTATTGGAGTAACACGTTTGCATTTGTTACACAAAATGATGAATGGATTGACGAATGGATGGATGGATAGATGGATGTTCATGTACTGCTGACAGGTGAGATGCTCGTAACTTTTTCCATCTTGTTCATCCTCATACATTTCACCATCGTCGTCATCACAATATGACAATACAATACAATACAAAAAAATACAATACAACGTTTCATGTGACCCATCACTTCTTTTACATCATCATTGGTATGTAATTCCTGTCACCAACATTATTGTGTACTTCATAGTATGGTGCCATTGCCATCATTATCTCTTACAAAACACACACACGCACGCACACACACAAAATGCACACACACACACACAAACGTGAGGAGCGATCTACGTACACTTACACACTCAAATACGTTCACATACAAGCCCAAACACACACACTCACACGCACACACACACGCACAACCACATGTTATCTCCACCACAAACTTGTTACAAAACAAAAACAGCATCTAAAGTTACCCGGCGAGCACATGCTAGCAACTTTGACAATCATCGTCATCATCATCCTCATCATCATTATTATCATCATCATCAACAACAACAATACAATCATTGTCACCATCTTCATCTTTCTCATCGTCATTATTATAGTTGCCAATGAAATGACGTCATCATTATCATTACAGTTATAATAAAATCAACAGCATCATCATCATTATCATCATCAACATCATCATCAACGCTACGTTCATTTCTTTTTTTAATTCTATTTTTATCAAGTCTTCATCATTTTGTCATTCCCGCTATTTACCATTGTTATTGTCCTCATTATCATCGTTGTTAACATCCTAATAATCATCATCATTATCATCATCATCATTGTCACCATCATCGTCACCATTAATCATTCTCATCACCTTCATCTTCACCATCGTCATCATCATCATGATCGTCGTCACCATGAACAAACACATTTCCATTTTTCCCGCCAAACGAGATTATGCTCCGGTTGTGGCGTCACGTGACTCCAACTCCCGCCACATTCTCACGAGATAGTTGCCGGGTGGAAACCTAATTACCGAGTTGCCACCACTACTACTATTACCACTACTACTACTACTAATACTACTACTACTACTACTACTACTACTACTACTTCTAATACTACTACTACTACCACTTTTATTAATACTACAGCTACTACTATTGCTGCTGCTGTTGTAGTTACTGGTACTACCACAATATGGTATTAGCATTTTTACTTCAAATACAGCTGCTGCTACTTCTACAGCTACTTTGTTACGACTTCTGCTACTACAGCAGCCTACTACTATTAATGCTATGAGGAAGTTTAATGAGAGTTAAGATGATGGCGGTTATGTTGAGTGGAAGATGGTAATGATGATGTCGATACTGATGTTGTTATGTGTTACGATAAGTTATTTGTACAAAATTTATTCTTTTTTTTTATTTCTATGTATCTTTATATGAATGAATGAAGGAATGTAAATCAGTATTTTTAGCATTTCAGTATTGTAGTAGTATTTAATTATTCACCCCATCTAAAACACTGCATTGAGATTGTGTATTTTGGCATGAAGCGCTTGAAGCTGTACGGATGCACTTGTGAATGTACGTATTATTTGTGTGATTGTACATGAAATTGTACTTAGGCGTTTTTATTTGTGTTTATTTATCTTATAGTTTTGTTTGTAAGCGTTGCATTCATTTTTTGGAATTTTTGTATAGATAAACATGTGTGTGTGTGTGTGTGTATGTGTGTGTGTGTGTGTGTGTACTAAAATGCATACCTACTTGTGTATATGTACTTGAATCCACGCACGTGTGTGTGCATGCGTACGTGTGTGTGTGTGTGCGTACGTGTATGTATGTACATGTGTGCGTGTGCGTGTGTGGATCTCCCAGGATTGACTGCGAGGCTTGCTTATAAACCAATTTTCTATCGCTCCTGCTCTTCCGCTCGTGAATGCTGTTTAAGGAGTAAGTAGGTGGTGGTGGTGACGATCATGGTGGTGATGATGACGACGACGATGAAGATAATGATGATGATTGCGGTGGTGAAGATGACGGCAATAATGATGATGATGATTTTCTTTGCCCACCGACAGTAGTTCAGCGTTTTATTCATCGCTAATTTGCCTTAGGGTTAGGGTTAGGCTTATTAAATATTTCGCAAATGGTTCGGTGATATTTAGACGGCGCCAGTTATGTGGCACGCCGATACGATTGATCATGGCTCTTTCCTTTCCACATTGAGCCTTCTTTGCTGCTCTTTCAAGTCAGAATATTGTTTCAATTGATTTCCGAAGCGGAAATATAAATGGCACGCATGAGCCAGCCAAGATGTCTTCATGAAACGTTATCTCGTTTTTTCAGTTTCGCTTCATGAGATTGAAATAATTAAATCACAAACTTCCAGAATAAAATTAACTTTTTTTCATTGATGCATTATGTTGAGTAGGTTGTATGTAAGCAGGTTGAAAGTTCTCTAAAAACGAAATAGTGACACTGCATGTGTGTGGGTGTGTGTGAGTGTGTGTTTGTGCATGCGTTGTTTCCATTATATACACACTACACAGACGAATGTGCGTGTGAAAATGTGTAAATATTGTGATTGTGCATCCCGGCATTTATGTTGTAACTGTGTGCGTGAGGATATGTACGTGCTTGTGAGAATGTGCGTGTGTGTTAATATATGTGCGTATTTGAATGCGTGTACGTGTGTGCGTGTGTGCGTGCAAAATGCTTATTTGCGCACGGTAGCTAGAGATGTGCGGCTGGGTGATTGGACCAATTTAAACATGCATAGCATTATGGTGACGTGCTATCTGCCTCCTCTAATATTTTATTTGTTCATTCATCCATCTATTTTTTCGTTCGTTCATCGGTTAAATCATTCATTCATTCAAAGTTCGTTTCGTTTCGAATATAATTTGTTTTTGTAATTGTTAGTTAATTAATTAATTAATTACTACATACAATATGGTAGTTTGCATTCATTTCATCCGTCCAATCCAATATTTTAACATTTAATTGTAAGCGCAAAAAATATCAAACCTGCTAAAAACCTCATAAAATTAATTGAAACCTCTTTTCATCATCACTGCCACCATCATTTTTTTCTTCATTATCATCTTTTTCTTCTTCCTTTTCTTCATCATAGCACAAGAATTTATAATTTTTCCTCATTTGTTTTTTAATATAGATAACAGAAGTGTATGACAACAAATTGAAAAAAATGTTTGTTTTATGTTGTTGTGGTTGTTGTTGTTGTTGTTGTAGTTGCTGGTTTTGTGATGGTGGTTGATGTTGTTTTTTGTAGCCACTGAAGTCGTGGGTGCTGCTTTATGTAAATGTTGTTACTCTGATTTTTTGTTGTTGCTGTGGTTGCTGGGGTTGTTGTGGTTGTTTTGGTTGTCGTGGTTGTTTTGGCTGTTGTAGTTGTTGTAGTTGTTGTGGCTGTCGTGGTTGTTGTGGTTGTCGTTTGCGATTGTTTCTTTCATGACCCGCGCAATAAAAATGTTTTTTTTCGAATTTATTAGATGCAAGGCATGCACGTAAATACAGAACACGAAATACGTATTGAATAACTTGCAAGGAAGTGCATTAAATTACGGCTGATTTATTTTTAACGTGAGATTTTTTTGCTGTTGCATAGATTTGGAAGATGTTTTTGTATATGTACATTTGTGGAACTTTACAAATATTAGTAGTTTGTGTAGTCAAACTTCAAACGCGCAAACTCCAAAACATGTAATACATGCACAGATGTAACTACCCACAAAGCAAGACATACAATTATTGCGACATCCTACAATGATATAAAGACAAAGAAACAAAAAGAAAGGAAAGGAAAAAAAGAAATAAAAAGGAAAGGAAAGGAAGAAAAAAGAAATGAAAAGGGAGAAACATAAAAAGAGAAAGCAGAGAAGAGAGAAAGAGAGTGAGAGTGAGAGAGAGGGAGAGAGAGAGAGGGAGAGAGAGGAGCGCAGAATGGTGGGAAGGTCATGATACAGCTTGCAACGATCCAGCAATGTCTTGCAGCCTGTGTTCTGGATCGCATTATCACGCATATGCACGTACAAGCACAAACGTTAATACACATACACACGCACACACACATGCACACACATGCACACAAAAATACTTACATAAACACATTACGCTATTCAAACGCACACATACATATAAGAACGTACAGAGAAACACACATCGAAGCTGCACACACAAGATACAAACACACACAAACTTACATATTTCGTTTTGTAAACTTTCACAAACTTGTTAAATATAAAAACTTTTCTTTAGGTTTCACTGTTTCAAGATTGTTTTCTGAATTATTGCATTTAAGTTCAAATACCTTCTAGACTCAAGAAACAAAAAATCTTCCAATAAGTTTGAAACGTTCTTGCATTGAAACCCCTAAAAATTACAAATACACACACACACAATCACAAATACTAACGTGCGCATATACACAGAAGCGAGTAAGCTCGCATGTTAATAACCCATAAACAGATACAAAGAAACTCACGTGCACAAACATCACGCACACAAAATGGCAAAATCAGACCGCATAAATAAGATAAGGAAGAAGCAGTCAGTCCTTTTGCATGAACGTACGCACTCTTACACACACGTACACATATTTTAACACAAACACACACACACATACACACACGTGCACATATTTTAACACACACACATACACACACACGTACATATACTTCAACACGCATACACACACGCACCGATATAAGAAGAGAGTGAGATAAAATATATCCACACACACCATGCAAGCGTTTAAACATGCATGCACAAAAACATACACACACAAACTTGCTCATAAACTTTCCAGGACTTCACACGGACATAAGCACTGTCACCAACACAGACTTCATTGTTTTTTTTGTGATATTAATTATCTTGTTGCAAAATTTTTTTTATTATTCTTTAAAAAACCAGAACCTGACAGAGGCAGAAAGAGTTACAACATGCCAGGCACTATTATAAAATGGATGTGGAGTAATAATAACGGAGTAAGAATTTACGTATTTAAAAAAAGAATAAATAGATTAATTAATTGACTAGTTAAACACATACGCCTAAATCTGCATTTAGATAAATACAAACACACACCCAGGAGCGAGTACTTATAATTAATTATTTGTAAAACTAGATGAAATCAAGTCATATTTTTACTAGATGAAATTTGTTTCTCACGAACATCGCGTTTCATCAATTGTTGTTTGAAATATTCTCGCAGTTCAAATGATTTATTAAGCGCGTTCTTACTTACAAATGTATTGAAGTTAAATGTAACGAGTATTTACTCGTTACATTTAATTTTTGATTAGAATTAAAACGACTTTTTTGTTTGTACAACGCCAAAAAACATTTTTAAAAATAACCATCGAGATTGAAATTTAAAATAAATACATTGCCATTTCATTACATTCAATGAAACATTATTAAATTGTCGATTTACAATAAAAACAAAAACTTCTAAAGAAAAATAATTAATTTTAAAACAGCATAATCCGAAATTAATAATAAACAAATGCCCAGACATGAGAACACACTCCAACGTTAACATCCACAGAGCACAAACAAACACACGCACACACATACACACGCACACACATACATACGCACACACCCACACACACACACGCACAAACTAACTCACACGTGAACAACTTTTTTCTCTCAAGCCATCGCAATGAATTTCTTCAGCCTGTATTTTTCTGGCTCGTCCATTTGAGCAATGAATTTTTATTTTGTTTACTCGTTTATTTGTTATGCTAGAATTAAAATTAAAAAAAATTAAATATGAAGAGTAAATCAAATATGAGAAAGTTAAATATCACAAAAATGTTGAATTTTTCTAAATTTATAAAACAGTTTTTAAATAAAATTTTGAAAATACTTTTTGCACCTCCACTCCATCTTCCCACTGGATGAATGCCCAAAATTCATAATTTCCGCAAAGAAAAATGGACAATTTTTTGTTATAACACATTTACAAATACCCGCATATGCATTGACGTACACTAGCGTACCCTCACGTACACTCTCGTACACTCACGTACAACTAACATACACTCACGTACCTTCACGTACACACATACTTAAGTCTTCTAAGAAACTCCTCGTTATACACTGCAAAACACACACACATGCACAGACACGCACAACTATTAATTGGTTTTTGCACAAACTCTTTCCTAAATGCACACACATACAGCGTACACACACATACAACGTGCACACACATACAACGTGCACACAAATACAACGTGCACGCAATCACACAAGTACATTGTGCATACATCAATTTTCATACACTCCCACGAATACACAAACACCTAATTGTACATATAAAATGCATTCACATATTATTATATGATTATAAAATTTCACGCACATTTTCAAACGTGCATACACACACACACACACACAAACAAACAAACACATGCACAAAAATATTAACTCGGTTGCAATAAGTCGATGATGAAAATTGTGCATTGTGTGTATCTGTGTGTGTGTGTGTGTGTATGTGTGTGTGTGTGCGTGCATGCATCTAATCAGTAGAAACATCCACTGCCCTTCAGGATTACATCGTGTTATTGTTGTAATGTTTTTAATGTTGATGTGTGCAGGTCTCATCATGTTGGCTGCTACTTTATGCTGTATTGTTGTTGCTATTTTGTTGTCATTGCAAAGTTGTTTTCGTTGCTAAAGATGTTGTCACTGCTTCTAATGCATTTTGTTGTTGTGTTCGTGTTGCATGAAGAATAAGAAATTGGAGAGTGCTATTATAAGATGTTGCTGCCGACTACACGATGTGTTGGAGTTTTGCATCAATTTGCCAAGTTGTATTGTTGTTGATATTATGTTGATGTTGTTGATGTTATGTTGATGTTGTTGGTGTTATCTTGATGTTGTTGATGTTTTAACAAAAGATAGAGAGAAAGAGGAGAAAGAAATAAAGAAAGATACTAATACAATTTGTTGATTAAAATTTTTAATTTGATTTGAAATTGTTCTTTTAATTAAAACTAATTAATTAGCAAATCAGCAAATGAATAATAATAATAATAATTATTAATTATAATACCGATAATAACTATTATTATTATTAATAATAGCAATAATAATAATATTTATTATTATTAATATAAATAAATTACTTTTATTATTTCATTTTTATTATCCTTATTAGAATTATGGTAGTAATGATAATAAGAAGAATAAGAAAAACAGTAGTCATGGAAACGACAACAATAATAAAAAATAATAATAACCGGGCTGACGTCAGAAGCGACCCGGTCATGTGATCGATAGTTGCGCGTGCGCAGAGCCGTCAAGAGCGGGAAGGCAAGATGGATGGCAGACTGCTCGTCACCTCCACCTCCTCATGTTCGTGTCAGTCCCCCCATAACGTTATGAGTGGTCTGTGGTGGATTTGCGTGTGCGTACGTGTGCGTGTGAGTGTGTGTACGTGTGTGTACGTGTGTGTATGTATGTGTGTGTTTAGGTGCTTATGTGCGCGCGAATGAATGTTTTTGTTTGTGTGTGTGTGTTCTTTAACGTTCATGTGTGTATGTGTGTGTTTGGTTAGGTGCTTGTGCGCACGCGAATGTCTGCGTGCGAGTGTGTGTGTGTGTGGATGTGTGTGATTTGGTAATTGTTCTTTTTTTTCGTTATTATGTTGGTGTGTGTGTGCGTAGGTTACTGCGGTTTTCACATGCCTATCTTTCGTTTGCACGTTTGAAATGCTCTACTCGTTGAATAGGTAGGCACAACATTGAAGTTTGTTTGCTTGAATATAGCTGAATATTTGTTGCTCCTATCGAAGGTGAGTGATGCATGTGGGCTGGTTAGGTTTCGTTGAATAAATTAAAGTGATTTGTACTTACGTGCATGCTTTTTTATTTGAAGAAATATTTTTTTGTCTGTACTTTTGTATACCGCTTTGTATACGTGCACATGTGTGTATCTCGTTGTATTTAATGTACGCATGCATTTATCTATGTCATTTTTTATTTAAATCTACGTAGGTACGTTTGTTTGTTTTTTGTGTACGTGCAAGTGTTTGTGTGAATGTACAAGGTTCTTATCTTAGCGTGTTATGTGTACATGCGTGCGTATGCATGTGTGTGTGAACGTTTTTGTTGTTGTGTGTGTGTGTGTGTGCGTGCGTGTGTTTGTGAATGATTTCATAGGATTGAATAAATTGTTTTTATGATTAATTAGCGCAATTTAACACATTCAAACAAAATAAATAAATTTTTACGAAATTACAGAGAAAGCAAGAAGGGAGTGTGTTGGAAGAAAAATACGGGCATGTGTTGGGTGAGTGTGGAGGTGAGACTGAGGTTAATGATGTATGCACTATGATAAAAATGAGGAAAAAGAAAATTGCATTATCGTTCGTTTGTACGTATCTGCATCTCTTTGTCTATCTGCGTGTATGTGCGTGTGTGTGTGCATGAAAATGTGCGTGTGTGCATGTAAATTGTATGTGTGTGTGCGTGTGTGTGTATATACAGAATCATGTACGTGTAAATGTACACATGTGTGAGTATAAAAGATGATATTACTATGCAAGCCCGTGCGCGTGTATCAGCACTTTTTTCAAAAATGTATGTTTGTTGAGATATCGAGGTTTTTTAAATAATTGTTGAATATGGGCAAATTACTTTCAAGTTTTTTGAGCTGTTGAATTTTAATATATTTAAAAATTTTATATTTTACATTTCACGTTTTTATTATAAATGTTTTTCAAATGTTTATTTTAAATGCGAGGAAAAAATTTTACTTCAAAGAAATATTGATGTGGTACGTTCAACTGACTGAACATGCAAAATTAAAAATGTATTTGTAAGGTTTATAATAAATGTGTGTGTGTGTGTAAGTGTGTGTGTGTGTGTGTGAGAGAGAGAGAGAGAGATAGAGAGAGAGAGAGAGAATAAATTTGTTTTACTTTGCGTGAATATTTTTTGTTGAAATCTTGTGTGAAATTGGGGAATTATCGTGGTGAAAAAAATTAATCAAACGAATATTATTTGAAGCAATATAAAAAATTTGAGACTATCTTTAAACATTTAGCTTGAGACTATATATTCAAATCAAATATAAACATTTTAATTTGATTTTCTATCGCATCGTGATATAAACAAAACTGATGTTAATAAGAAGAGTAGTTTATTATGAACAATCACGCAACCAATTGTCACATAAATAGAGATAGATGTCTGATAATAATTGCAGACAAAACTTCAGAAGCTTCAAAAACATTGAATATTATCAGCAGACGAATTCGCAGAAATATTGTTGGAAGCCATAGAAAACAGTATTAATCTTTATTGCCAGGATCATGAGATTATGCATGCATGCGTTTATGCATCCTTAAGATTGTTCAAGTGTTTGACTGTTTGTGTATTTTTGTGAGTTCATGATGTTGTATGTGCATGTTTGTTTGCATGTGCATGTTTGTTTGCTTGTTTGTTTGTTTGTGCATGTTTGTTTGTATGTGCGCATTTGTTTGTTTGTGCGTGTTTGTTTGTTTTATTGTGGATGTTGTTGTATATGTATGTTTATTTGTATGTGCATGTTGTTGTATGTGTTGTATATGTTTGTGTGTGAGCAGGTTTATGTGCATGTGTTTGTGTCTGTTTGTATATGTTTGTACGCATGTTTGTATAAATTTAATAAACTATTTTGATTGTCAAAATTTTTAGTTTTTTTATGTAATTTTTTAATTCTTAGGCAACGAAGAAGAAATTGAAGAAAAGAATTCATCAGACAGGAAGTGTCCTAGACCTCATTGCATCATCGCCCACTTATTTCCATTTGTTCTGTGAATGTTGACCATTCCTGTGGTCATAATTATTATGATCATATTTATAATTATTAATTATTTAAATAATTATTATTTATGCTGTACAATTTTTTCATAAACTGAATATAGTGTCATAAATATTTATTAAAATTTTTATAAAATTTTACTATATATTTTTAATTACTAACACAAATATTGCTAACATTTTGATTATTTGTATATAGTTAAGAATTAAATTTGTGCATCAGATATAGGGTAGCTAATTAACATAATATATTATAATTAACATACGATATTGGAGTCATCTTAGTAAGCGTACTTGATTGTTATTAAATTAGTACCAATTATATAAATAATGTCATGAAATAAATAAAATAATATCGTGTTATGAAAATGCATAGAAATTTTTAAAATACATGCAGCACACACACGTGTACACGCACGTACACCTTAAACACAATAAATCTCACACGTGCATCAACCTCTAGTGTACTCATATTTCACACACACACACACACACACATACACACATGCACAGTTAGAAGAGTGAAGTGAATGGATCATTTGCCGGCATCGTCAGTCGTGAGGTAAAGAAAAGTAAAGACTGTAGAAAAAGCTTTGAATAATGTTAACCTGATGAGTGTGTGTGTATTTGTATATATGTGTATGTATGTATGCATGTATGTGCGCGTATGTTCGTGTGCGTGTGTATGTGCGTGTATAAAAACGAATGTGGCGTGTGTGTGTGTTCGTGCGTGTGTGTGTGTGTGTGTGTGACTTTTTGACCCTAACATAGAAATAAATGACTACAACAACAATCCACACATTCTAAGAATTACAGAATCTTTGCTCGTGGAACATAGACTGCGGTCCTATCGACTAACCAAGTCAGAATTCGAATAAAATGACTTAGTGAAGAAGTCACTTATTAACAAAGTCACTCGAAACCTATATAAACAGACACATAAAACAACATCCGTATTAACCACTGATGATGACAAATGATTGCCGAAAAAAGCTTCTTATGTTGGAACGTACATAAATATTTAAACAAAAACGCAAACAATGAATAAAAATTTTGTTTATGAACTGAACAAACTTGATAATGAAACGAAGAATTGAAAAACTCAATTGCAAATTGAACAATGCCTGCTATGCGGCGATATTTTTAAACAACTGCACATCAGACAGTCCCCACGTAATATATATGTATTATATATATATATATATATAAATATATATATATATATATATGCGCGCCTATTGAATGTATATACGTATGTATTTATAGAAAGCCAAAGATGCGAAAATAGGCGTTAGTTTGGCTGTTAACACCTCTGAAGCGCAAAGAAGGATCTATTGTATGTGGCCACTTTGCTCGTCTTTCAGGGGATTAGTACTGCTTTTCACACTGCATTAGTGATGGGTTGCTTGCCTCCTCGCTTCATGCCTCTCTCTTTCAGCGAACTCTTTTGTTATTGACGTTCTTGTCGCCGATGTCGCTGGTGTTGTCAGTGTCGTTGAAGTTGTGGCTTCAGTGTCGTCGAAGTTGTGGCTATTGTTTTCTTGCGGTTGCTGTTTTGTAGCTGATGGTGTTGTTTTCGTATCTTAGATTGCTTCCTTGCTTGTCGTGACTTTTTTTTTAATCTCCTGATGTTTCTAATTTTTAAGTTGGTAACACTATTGTTGGTTGTTTACATCGTCGCTGCACATGCTTTTCTACGGAATTATCTGATCTCAGCTTGGTCTGCTGGGAAATTTATTAAACAATTTTTTTTTGTATTTTTTCGATAATTTTGTTCATGTAATTATTTACTGATATTGGGTTATATCATTTAGGTTATAACTTCAATAATTTCATATTTGATATTAATATTTTAATGTCATTGATGTTTTTATATAACGATTTAAGGACTGGCTACTCATTTCAAAATTTATGTTCATTCTTTAGACAATTTGTGTGTCGTTATTATTACGTGTAAGCACACATACAGCAAACGATTTTCTCAAGCAAACATCATACACACACATAACAGAAACACACACGCACACACGCACACACACACACACACGCATACTGATGCACACACTAACACACACTAACACACACATACGAATCCACACAAACGTCATAAACACGACGACTCAGACGCACAAGCATAGATATAAAAGCAAAGAAGCAGAAACATAGACACAAAAGCTATTATATTTTCAGTAATGGTCTGTATGTTGGCCTGAAGTCAGAAGTAGGTTATCAGTGGAGAACACAAAAGACATATATGCTACACTACATTCATGCTTCTTTCCTTTATTCTCTCTCTCTTTCTCTCTCTATCTTTCTCTTTATCTCTTTCTCTCTTTCTTTTCCTTTTTTTTCATTTTATTTATTATTTTCTCTAATTTTTCTTCTATCTTTTTGTATTATTTTGTGATTTTCATTTGTTATACTTTCATTTTTTTTATTTTTATTTCTTATCATTTATATAGAGTTAAAAATTTTCACAGCATATGATCTTTTTTCCACCCCATTTTTCCTTTTCCATCCTCTTGTTCCTCCTCCTTCTCCTCCTCCTCCTCATCATCATCATCTCACACCAACATCTTCTTCCATACAATGTTTATACTTTTTCTTTTTTTTCTTTCATTTCAGTTACTTTCTTTTTATCTATCATTCTCATAAGCATTTGAAATGGTTAGATAAGGGTACACGTCGTTCCTGTACTGATGCATCATGCATGTGTGTGTATGTGTATGTGTGAGCTTGCAAATGTGTGCGTGTGTTTAAATATATGTGTGTGTTTGTGTGTCTATAAACACATTAGTCTATAAGTATGTTTATGTTTATGTGTATGTTTACATATGTCTGTTTGTGTGTGTATGCAAATGTATGGTCTATAAGCAAATATATATGTGTGTATGTAAAAGTATGTGTGCGTATATATGTGTGTCTGTAAGCAAATGTATTAGTGTGTTGTGTATGTATATGTATGTGTGTGTATGTGAATATACATATATGCATACACATAAAAAAAATTTTTTTCTTATGATTTACACATGTTTATATTCAACCTGACATTTGTTTGATTGCAGTTAAACTATGTAAAGAAGTTTATTGCCGTTGGCAAATATTATTTCATGATCAAGTGCTTATTAACTTTTACTCGTTATATTTAGTTAGCATTTGACATGAAAGGCAGTAATTAATTTCTAAACTCAACCTTCCTTCAACAAGAAAAACAACATATTCTCTATTAGCAAAACACTCCTTTCTGTGGTTTGAAGAGGTTGGTTCAATTTTTATCCTGGCGAACGAATCGTAACTATATCTGCGAACAACAAAACATACGCTAGTCTATTCCATTTAATGGTTCCAGTGGTACGATACTGTTGAATTCGAAATGATTTAGATAGTTATTAAAATTAAATGTTTCAATTTTTTTATTAGAAAGCGTGTTAGTTTAAAGTTTTAATGAAAATGTCAAAAAGTAAACTTGCTTAGTAAAACATCATCACAACATGCAAAGAAATTATTTTATTTTCACCATCTTCGTCATCAGCATCGCCGACATCATCATTATCATCATTTTTCACGACATCATCGTCACAATGGTCATCAACGCTATCAGCATCATCACTATCATCATCCCACTACTACAATCACTAGCATCAAAACAACAGGCGTCATTTGAAAATTTAAAATTCCATCCGCTTTCTGTCAGAAGCCAATCAGAGTAAAGTTGACGTGTGACATCATACAATTACATCACGTGACAACTTGAAGCTTCTTTATCAACACGCAAGCAAGAAATCAGCTGACGATGAAAGGGGAAAATAAAATTCATTCGAATTATTTTTAGAGTTGTTTTTTAGAAATTTTTCTCTTGAGGTCATTTCCCAAGAGCACTGAAACTTCATTGTCTCACTTCAAGAGGCAACGAACGTTTACGAAAGTTGAGGAATGAAAAAAAAGAAGAAAATGATAAAAAAAAACCAAGATAATTATATTAACAAAATAATAACAATTGCAATTTTTTTACAGGGCAGGATTTACGGTGTGGTGGTCCCGCGGCAATGAAGAAGCGGAGGTTTCTAATTAATTGGCTGGCATGGCCGGTTCTAGAACTTTTTTGTGCAAAGGCAACATGCAAATTCTTTTTACGGCGTTTTAGCTTTGACACGCCGCTTTCTTTACGCCTTTGTTGTGAATCTTTTTGAAAAGCTGTAACTTTTTTCTTGAGTTGAGAGCCGTTGAGTTTTTCGCGGTTTTCAGCTTTAATTTTGTTGCAAATGAGGCGGTTTTTGATGCAGTTTTAATTAGTATTCAATTGCATTTAAAACATTTAATAAGTTAGGAATTATTTTTAATAGAACAAAATTATAACGACACACCGAAATACTTCAAGAGATGAAATTTTAATTTAGGAGCAGAATCAATATTTCGCTAGAGCAAGAATTCGGAATAAAAAAAACATAACACTATTACACAAGTCTAAAGAATTCTAACATTGTTGTTTGGTGAGCATCGAAATTAATATTCAAATTATAATTAAAATATAATTATTCGAGTAAACGAATGAAAAAAAAGTAGGGCTCGTCCGGGATTTGAACCCGGGACCTCTCGCACCCTAAGCGAGAATCATACCCCTAGACCAACGAGCCGTGTGAAAAATTTTGCTTTATTATTGCACTTAAGTTAACATAGACACAATAATCTATGGTTAGAAACTCGAAGAATTTTCGAATACGTACGCTCCGCAGGCAATTAATTTGTTATTCTTTAACATTTTTTTTGATTTCAAAAGAAATTTAAACAAACAAAAGCCTTAAATATTATTGAATAAAAACATTTCCATGATTGACAAGTACAAGTTCAAAACTAAATTAATAAAAATTTAAAAGTAACTAGTAACATAGTCCTACTTCAATGAAAAATAGCAATAAACTAACAAAAACTAAATAATAATAATAATAATAATAATTAAGACTTAACAAAATAATTAAGATAACCATTAACAATAATAAACAATTTGTAAATAATTAACTAGTTAGGTGGAACCATGGGTGGAACTAAAAAGTACAAACGACAATCAAGTACACTTTTAACCTAAGTAGTAATTATAAATACATCCAATTTAATCCATAGTGTTTTTAAGTAAAATATACTTCATATATATATATATATGTGTGTGTGTGTGTGTGTGTGTGTGTGTGTGTGTGTGTGTGTGTGTGTGTGTGTGTGTGTGTGTGATGTGGTAGAAGATGAAGGTGATAAGAAAAGCAATAATAATGATGATGAAGAAGATAACGTTAATTAATGCTGACAATGATGAAGATGATGTCAAAGATAACGACTAATCAATCAATCAATCAATCAATCAATCAATCAATCAATCAATCAATCAATCAATCAATCAATCAATCAATCAATCAATCAATCAATCAATCAATCAATCAATCAATCAATCAATCAATCAATCAGCCAGCAAGCCAGGCAGCCAGCCAGCCAGTCAGCCAATCAATCAATCAATAAACCGATCAACCAACCAACCAACCAACAAATCAATCAGTCAAGTAGATACGGGGAGTCTAGTACAGAATAGCCCGTGGCAACCCCACCCTCATTGGTGTCGGCATTTTTCGTTCTCAGCAAGTACCCGCACTGTTCGTTCATTATTATCTTGGACTTTGATCTGTTGAAGCGCGTTGTTGATGTTGTTGTTGTTGTTGCTAATGATGCGTGAATGTGATGGTGTAGTTGACGTCACGATGTTTTTGTTGTCACGGCATGTTATTGTTAGTAGGGGTATCTAATTATGACAGAAGAAACAGGGAAGATTTACTGGGAATGCAAATTTCACACCGAATTGGGAACATCTCAACAAACTAAATTTACGCGGCTTTCCTAAAAGTTAGGGGAATAAATAGTTGCAACAACTTTTCCGACGAAAAGCAAATCATCTTTCAAAAATTTCTGCGAAAGGTTTGCATCGAAAGACCCTCTTAAACACGACTCGTTTGACTGCTTGTCAATGTTGCTACTACTACAATACAACAACGACGACGACGACAACAACAACGGCAACAACAACAACCGCAACAACACAACAACAACAGCAGCAGCAACAATAACAGCAACAACGACAACAGCAGCAACAATAACAGCAACAACAACAACTAGTGTTTTACTGCTAGCAGTACTTATAATTTGTTGCGTATAAATGATTTCAGGAACATAAGTAGATGCAAGAGGACGGGAACAACTACACTGGAGTGTGAAGAAAATGGGAGTGGCTGATTGGAATGGAAATGAAATGGAATGGTGGAGTTGTTCCTGTCAAACAAAAGCGTGCAGTTTCAGGCTGATATGGATGGTGCTGATGATTTTTTTTCGTAACTGTTCAGTTTACGTGTTGTTGTTTGTCATAATAATAAATATTTGAATGCGAGTTGAAGTAGTGGTGTGGTGAGAAAATAAGAAAGATTGAGACAACACGATGGTTCAAAGTTTCAAACGTCACACGCACGATGTATCACAGCTGATATTTCAAACACAATACATAACATAGGTTTCTATGTAATTCGACAACAGATGATAAAACAACGACAAATATACTAACAGCAACAACAACAACAACTACACACAACGCCATCTCATCAACAACAACGCCCTCTCATCAAAAACAACCACCACCACACCAACAACTCACCCAACGAGTACTCCGTAGACACCCAACTCAGACACCATCTCCGTCAGCTTAACTTTCTGCTGCTTCAGCACATCCTCACTTGATGATGATGATGAAGATGGGGTGGAGGATTCTGATGATGCCAGTGGTGATGACATGACTGACGCAACTTTTGGTGGTTGTCGTGGTGGTGTGGTTTCGCACTGAACGTCGGTGGCAGAGTGGCAGGGAGTGGGGAGGGAGGTTTCGTTGGCGATGACGGGGAAGTTGTAGACCACCATGGGGCTGATTCGCTCCATCAAGATGAAGGACAGACGCTCGTCTGAGTCCTTGATGGAGGTCAAAAGGTCAACTATATCCTGGCCGTATGTGTTGTTGCCTGGTAGATTGGTTGGTTGAATGGTTGGTTGAATGATTGGTTGAATGATTGGTTTAATGGTTGGTTGAATGGTTGGTTAACTGGTTGGTTGAATGATTGGTTGAACTATTCGTTGAATGATAGGTTGATTGGTTGGTTGATTAGTGGGTTGAATGATTGGTTGGTTGATTAGTTGGTTGAATGGTTGGTTGATTGGTTGGTTGACTGGTTGGTTGATTAATTGAATGATTGGTTGGTTGATTGGTTGGTTGACTGGTTGGTTGAATGATTGGTTAGTTGACTGGTTGGTTGAGTGGTTGGTTGGTTAGTTGACTGGTTGATTGATTAATTGAATGATTGGTTGGTTGATTGATTGGTTGACTGGTTGGTTGAATGATTGGTTGGTTGACTGGTTGGTTGATTGGTTGGTTGACTTGCACCTCCTCCTTCTCTCTGTGGCTTGACAACGAAACTGTTCGGGTTCTCAATGGCCATTTGCAGGGCTTTGTCTCCTGCTGGATTCTGAATGATGAATGAAGGAAGGAAGGAATAAAATGAAATGATGAATGAATTGAATGAATGAACAAATGGTGAACAAGTGAATGGGAACATGAATGAAGATCAATGAATGAAAGAACAAGATGAACCGCGGTCAATTGAAACTTCAATCAGTAAATGAATGGGTAAAAGACTAAAAGTTAATTGATATGAATGAATAAATGAATGAAGACACAACGTATTCAATGAAAGGATGCATTAATAATGAAATAATGCATTCGAAATGAATTAATGCAAAACAAACAATCACACATTCAGAAATCTTTTTTCAAAAATCACAAAATGAGAAACACGTGCCAAGAAGAAGACTTCAAGAACATAAACAGAACAAAAATAAGTAAAAGAAAATGGAAAAAAGTTAGATGTTAAACAAACCCTGTCCAGTTCGTATTGACTTGCAAAGGTGCTTCTTATTCTTTCCCTCATCTTGGTGTCCTTCACGAACCTTTCCAACATTCCCGGCTTCGAAAGAACCTTCGAGAAATTAGATTTTAAAAAATTAAAATACAAAAAACAAAATAATTTATGAAATATATATATTTATATATTGAAGTATTTGCCAACTGCTGCTAAGCAATTCATTGATTTCTCATCTAATTTACTACAAAAAAACGAATTCAATGAATATTTATTAATTTATTACACAGTCCACGAACACAGTTGATGAAAACCGTGTAACAAATTTATATACAGCGATCAGGATGGCTGGTGACAAGACAAATCAACAAACCAACCAACCATCCATCCAAACAACCAACCAACTAACCAATCAACCAACAAACTAACCAACCAACCAACCAACCGACCAACCAACCAATTATCCAAACAACCAACTGACCGACCAACCAACCAACCAAACAACCAACCAACCAACCAACCGACCAACTAACCGACCAACCAACCAACCGACCTACCAACCAACCAGCCAACCTGTTGAACTTTTTTAGTACCAGCCAAATGATAGCCAGCACTTGGACACATGATGGCCTGTGATCTGTAGAATCATTCATAACGTTTGCCACCATCACCATCATCATCATCATCATCAAGAACATCATTACCGACATCATCATCATAATAATCATAGCTAAATGTAATCATTACCGTCATCATCATCATCATCGTCATAATCATCATCATCGTCATAATCATCATCATCACTATCATCATCATCATCACCACCTCTCCATCATCATCCTACACTTCCAGAGTGAGGCTCCACCGGAAAAATCTTGAGGTTTGTAGCAGGAACGCTGGTACACCACGGCTACTTCTAAGTTGTCCCTGAGTTATGATCATGATGATGATGATATCATTTATGAATGTTATGAATGAAATGAATGGATGGATGAATGAATGAATGATTAAATGAATGAATGAATGAATGAATGAATAAATGAATAAATGAATAAATGAATGAATGAATAATACAATTTAATTCACAATCATGATCCATGATTATTTTATTATCATTACAACGTAATATTAACTTCAAGCTTCATCATCATCATTATCATCATCGCCAGCACTATCACGATCACCATCTCATTATCAGCGTCACCGTCACCATCACAGCCTCACCATCACCATCATCATCATCATCATCCTCATCACCTCCACCATCTACTGCCAACAAACACTAACTAACACAATAAGCTTCCGATCCTTCTCGTTCATGTAGGCATGCCTGTGAATGTACTCCAGTGACCTTCGAATGACCTTGACCTCGGGGCGCGTCTTCGAGATGAGGACCTCAAGTTTACGCTGGTCGTATATGTTGCGCTCGACCTCGAAGACCAGGAAAAGAATCACTGCCCTGGAGGTTAAGGTGAATGCGTGGAGTCTTTTATTTGTTTGTTCCTTCCTTCAATCATTCACACACTTGTTCGTTATCTAGTTCATTCATTTGGTTGTTCATAGCTTATTTATTTGTTTAGCAATTAATCAATTAATTCATTCATTTATTCACTCACTCACACATTCATTCATTCATTTATAAATTCATTCATTCATTCACTCATCGTTTAGTGGCTCACTCATAATTCATTAAATTCATTTAATTGACAATCAGCAGCACGCACCACCATCATTGTTATCATCATCGCAGTATACCAAGCTACCATCATCATCATCCTCATTATAACCACCATCTTCGTCATCATCACCATCGTCATAATCATCATCACCATCGTCATAATCATCATCGCCATCGTCATCATCTGACTTCTCATTTTTGTAGGATTTCCATGCAGTGATCAACCCGTTGGCGAAACAAACCGCTGCCTCATTCTTTGGTACCTGGGTTCAGATCGTCATCATCATCATCATCACCGTCACTATTATCACCATCATCACTATCATCGTCAATATCTTTATCATTATTATCATCATCATTATTTATATCAAACATTGTCGACATTATCACAAGCACTATTCATTCATTCGTTCGTTCATTTATTCGTTCATTCGTTCATTAATTAATTAATTATTTAATTAATTCATTCATTCATTTTTTCATTCGTTCGTTCGTTCGTTCGTTCATTTATAGTTTATAGCTTATTCATTCATTCGTTCATTCAACCATTGTTAATTCATTCATTCATTCTCCCAACTATCTAAAGCTAAACCAGAAAATAGATTAGTCGCTCACTTTTTCATTACATTCAGGACTATGCCCTTTCGAAATGATGAACCTGGTGATGGTAATGATAGATGATGATGAAGATTGCGATGAAGAAGATTACGATGAAAAAGATGAAGATGAAAAAGATGAAGATGAAAAAGATAAAGATGATGAAGAAGAAAATGATGATGAAGAAGATGATAAGGAAGAAGAAGATGATGATGATGAAAATGATGGTGATAAAGATGATGATCATGAAGATGATAGTGATATGAAAATGAGGATGAAGATGATGATGAAAATGATGATAAAGATGATGATGAAGAAAATGAAGAAAAAGATGATGACGATGATGATGAAGAAGATGATGAAAAAAATGAAGAAGTTGATAAAGAAGATGATGAAGAAGATGAAGCTATACATTTGAGATATAGACAGCAAGACAGACAGATTGGAGGAAATAATGGGTTAGCCTGAAATGACCTCAAGTAAAATTAGCCCTTCGACTTCAGCAATTTATTTACAACTTGAACCATTTTGTTTGTCATTATAACAAACAACAGGAGGACATTGTGAAGCTTGATGTTGATAACGTTAGAAAAGAGCAAACAATCTGACACTTGAAACTATGATATGAAAATAAATAACTCGCTATGAATACACTCAACAGCACAAAGGTCCAATTTCAAATAATACATGATAATATCACATGACAATGACGACGTACAGATAACGTAATAACGTGTCACATGACATCATCATCATCATCATCATTTTCACATGGCCACATCATCACGTGACCGCATCATCACATGACAATGATACATCATTCATCTGTTAGTTATTGTGCTATGTCTTGGACATGAAAATGTAAACGTTTGCCTTGCTAAGTTCTCATCATAAGCAGTCATTCTGACATGCCAATCGACATCAACATTTCCGTAATGAATACCACCTACCTGTGGTACTCATGAAGGTTCTGAGCGAGTCCAGGAAAGCTGGCCGACATGGTGTTCACCTCGACTTGCTTCAAGGTTACGTCGCAAGGGTACGACTCGTACGACTCCATGAAATTCTCAACCAACTTCAAGTCGAGACCATCACTGTGGTCTGCACTGTTGGAGTCAGTGTTGATGTTGTTGTTACTGGAGATTGTTTGGTCGGAGGCTGTTTTGTTAGAGGAGGCGTTGCTTTTAACGTCGAGGTTGACGATGAATTTAGTATCAGTAGTGGTGTCTGGTTGGGTCTGCAGTGACTGCACGTTCTTGCATATCGTCGAGCAGTTGCGAATTTTGGAATCGATCATGTAGTCAGACCTGATCATTGCCAAGCTTACAGGCTTTGGAAAAAAAACACGTACAAATGTTAATACCAAAGAGTATAAAAACATTTCTATAAAGAAAAATAGCATTCATTAGTAGGGTCAGATCAAGTTGTCATAAAGAAAACTTAACTGTTATATTGGTTATCCAGTGCTAATGTCACTTCCACAAAATAAATTCGTAAAAAGTTAAAAGGTTAAAGGTCAATTACACTTTTCCAAAGTTCAGAGGATTCAAATATCAGCATTGAAAATTAATTTGTTTTTAAATAAAAAATGTAGACTGAGCATAGGAACATGATGTTTAGTACAAGTGTGTGCATAAATGCAAGGTGATATCAATTAATTATGTAACATAATATTTTTGTGTTAGTTATAACATTGACACATTAGATAATTCAGAAATAATTTGGATCACCATTTACCTTCACGCACACACACACATACACACACACACATACACACACACACAACACACAACAACAAACACACGCACAACACACGCACACATCATCACATACAACAACCAAACTTACTTTCACTATATTCTCCTTAGTAACTGTTTCAAAAATATTCCAAATGTTCCTCGTGAATTCATCAACCTTCACCACGCTGGCAAAAGTTACAAACGGACAAAGATTTTTATCAATAATGCAAATAAGATATAAATGAAAACACATCATCTATGCTAAAAGCTTATAAAACCAAAGGTGCCAACATTCTCATGAAAAATATTTTTTAAATTTTCAATTTAAAATTGAATAATTTCATTGAACAGTGTTTAATATTTTCAATAAATTATAAAACAACTGTTAACCATAAGTATACCATATAAAAAATGGACTAAGTTTGCCATCCACAACCCATGTATCATTCTAATAATTTAAAAACACTGGCTCAATTGGAGAACATAACTTTACCATTAAGTATAAAAATGTACACGCATTTATGTAAAGTACATACCAAAAATCTACCCTGACTACCCACATAACACGCTTACTTACTGAATTAATTAAAATTGAAATATTTATAATCAAGGAAAAAAATGAAAAAAAAATTTAATGCCTCGCTAATGCTTCCTTCAAGAATTGATAGTCATGAGCAATATTGTGCAACATCAGCTGTACCTCCCTTTGAATAGCCAAGGCTTCGAGGAAGCATTTCTTTGGCACTGGGCTCGGGAAGAGGGTAAATGGAGCATGTTGTATGCTGTCGGGGGAGTTTGAATCAACATGCTTTCTAACTAAACAACCTTTGTGGGTCAAATTTATAAGATCAGTCAAATTAATCAGTAAGTTATGGCTTAATTTGTGTGTGTGTTAATTAAGTTAGCTCAGCAATATTGTTATGATAAAAATTTTATTTAGGAGTTATTTAATTTTATACCCTAGTTAATTAGAGATGTTTACATAAAAAACTTTGTTTTTAATATATTAAAATTAAATCAAATAAAAAAAGTTCATTTACACTTTAATTTTAAATTTAGTTAAATAAATTAAACTATAATATCATGAGATTAGCATTAGATTATTATTATTATTTTTATTATTATATTAAATCATTAATTAAAATAATCAACTCAAATAATAAAAACAAAATAATTAATAAAGTGACTGATGAGATAACAGATGCAGATAGTGATAAAATAAATGATAACAGTTGTTGATTCCCCTAATGAAATTATAAATTAAATATTAATTAATCAACTTATTAAATCTAATTAATTGAAAATTTTTTTAAAATGATTAAGTATTTTGTTTAATTAAAAAATTTATTTATTTTAATAATTAATTAATAAAAAAATTATCTTAAATATATATTATAACAAACCATGGACAGAAACGACATCTTTCGCCATCAGAACGGTGTCATCAAGCTTTCCGGGCTCAATTAGTTCTTTAAATTGACTCATTTTTGTGATAAAATTTTAAAATAAAATAACTTACCTATTTAAAAACCAATCAAACTTAATTTAAAATTGGATCTAAATGTAACTGTAACTCATGGAGAGATGGGATTGTTGTAAAGTAAATTTCACGTGAGTATTTGTTATAAAAAAAATATATATATATATATAATATATATATATATATATATATATATATAGTTTACAATATTCTATAAATTCTACCGAATGTTTGGCGTTAATATGTTTGTAGTTCGTTTTTCAAATTTTCTCACTAAAGTTTTTTGGTAAACGTTTAGTTTATAAAATTCAAAATAAACTTATTTTTCGAATTCATGCTGCAAATAAGGCCATATTTCGATTCCGAATGAATCATCATCAGTGCTTTCTGCTGTTTATATAGGGAAATATTGACTTTGTCAAAATGAATTTAGATGGAGATTGACTTTGTCAAAGTGAACTTAGATGGAAATTAGGTGTCAGGTTTCTTTATTGGCTGGTCAATGGTCATCTTCTTTGGTCTCCTTTTCTTCATGGATAGCATCATATTCTTCTTTGTCACTATTTACAATGATAATTTTTATTACTTCTTTGTTTTCGTTGTTGTTTAAGCGCCGGGTTGGAAGTGAGGTTGTCATTTTTTGTTGTATATTTATTTTTGGTTTATTGATGTTGACAAAATCAATATTTCCCTATATAAACATCAACCGCATTGATGATGATTCATTCGGAATCGAAATATGGCCTTATTTGCAGCATGAATTCGAAAAATAAGTTTATTTTGAATTTTATAAACTAAACGTTCACCAAAAAACTTAAGTGAGAAAAATTGAAAAAACGAACTACAAACATATTAACGCCAAACATTCGGTAGAATTTATAGAATATTGTAAAAATTATGGTCTATTACCAACACACACATATATATATATATATATATATATATTTATATATATATGAATAAGTATTTATTTCATTTATATGTACATATATTATATATATCAATTGTGCACATGTACACATTGCTTTTGCTTATTATTATATTTTGGTTATATATTCGTTATAACGAACATAGTTTTAAATGGTATATAATCATACAATAATTGATTTCAATATTATAATATCTTGTATTTTTGTACAAATATGTATTATTATAAGATAAGCCATATAAGCCAGTCATCCTTTCTAGACTTTGACTTACCTGCTTTAACTCTATTAAAATCTATATCTTATATATACATGTGCAAAATATTTATGCATTGATTTAGCTAGTAAAACAATGAATAGCAAATTGGTACATAAAATAAAAATAAATAAACCTTTCAATCAGATGCGTGTATTGTATTGCAATGAATGATGTTGTATTATATTATTAATGTATAATATAATAAAATATATAATAAAATATTATATCTTCACATCTTTACACACACCACACACATACACTCACACAATAAGAATTAATAAGAAATGATATATATGTGTATATATATGTATATATATATATTATTGGATTAAGACTGTCAGAAATGCAGTTATTGATGAAAATCACAGCATGTTCGGCGTTTGTTAACTTCCAATTTAATTTTTGATTTTTCTAACGGTTGATCGTAAATCATTTTCAAGTTTCTTTAGTTCAAAACCAAAATTTTTTTTTTTTTTATGCATGATAGAACCATGGATATATATATTATATATTATTATTATTATATATTATAGATATCTGTTATACAATACAATACAATATTTTTTTATTTGACCTCAAAGAAAAATAAAGGTACAGGACTACTGTAGGGAGTCTTTAAGAGACTCATCGTGCACAGTAACCTTAATAGAAAATAATCCAAATTAACATGTAAATGTAGTGTCATCAAGAGAAAAAGTAAAAATTTTAACAAATATGATAATGATTGTTGATCAGTTGAAAATTTTTAAGTTAACAAGAGTGTTAAATAGAATAGAATCATTTGGAACATAGTCACATTCGAAATTGTTTGTACATAAATACCCAATAAATAAACCAACAAACGTAATATAATCATATACATATATACAAAATAAACAAAAGCTTACATATTGTGGTTTAGATATATAATCCCAAAACATGCGTGAGTACACCTATGCGATCACACATCAGACTTTCATTTGTTTTATTTAACCAACTTTCACTTATAGCTATGATATCAAAATCAAACACAACTGTTCTCAAAAGATCATCAATTTCCTCACATTTATTTAATAGGTTTCTTGAATTTATATGCATTAATTTTAACAACTTGAAATGATTGTCTATAGACTTAATATTTTATATGTTTTATTCCAATTCTCAACATTGAATAACTTGTATGTTTTTATTACTTGTGAGCTGTTGTCTTCTTCTTCATCCTCTTCAAAAACCACTGTGAAATTTGTTTTGTCATACATTTTTTTGCTGTTTGTTTTTATTAAATTGCCATTCCCGAACAATAATGTCATTTGGTATGATGCTTGGGTCTTTCATTTTTGTGAATCTTTACGTCAATGCATGTGCGGAATGATGTTGACTCTGTTGTTTTTTTCTGTTTGATCTTTTATTTCTGACTCCAATTCTGATTTTTTGAAGACTGGGAAACAAGTAAGTACCTTTATCCCATTTGAAGTTAAGAATTCTTCAACATCTGTTCTGAACATTACTCATTGAGTAGACAGTTTTGTTTACTAGTAGTTTTTCAGCTTTAAGTTTACAATTTTCAGTAATTTTTTTGCCTATAATTTTTTTGATTTGTTGTTTGACTGTGTTGGCTTTATTTTTTGACTGACCCACAACAGTGAATTGTCCGCTGTTCACCATCTCTTGCTCAAAGACATCTATGTTCGCATTTCTCCCACCAGCTGAATGCCAAGGAGGTGTAGGTTGAGGGGTTCTTGGTAGAGATCTAACTGCATCTGCCCAATGCAATTTATTTAAATTTGAGCTGTTACTACTAGGAGGTGGAGGTTCACCTGTCTTTATGTTTGTTTTATTTAGTAGTTGATTTTCATTATACTTGTCGAACATGTTTGCATTATTTTGACTGTGCAAACTCTCATTTGAAGCTTTGTTGGTAGAATTGTTTAGAGTAGTTTCTATGTGATGCAATTTGGAAAATATTATGTTGAAATTGAATTGCAACATTACCACATGCGACGGCACCTTTTTGTCATCAATACTTACGTAACACGGAATTTTTTCAGTTTTTTTGCAGTTCACAATGTTATTAATTAGTGACAGAATATCCAAGAATTTTTCTTTTTTTGTTCCAGTTTTTGAATTTTTCAAATATTCCAGCTTTGCGGTTTCAATGTCTGTGATTATTTGCTGTCGAGCATTAGTAATGTCTTCACTGGAATAGAAACGTATAACATTATTTAAAAATTCGTCATTTTCTTCATTTAGAAAATGTTTTAAATTAAGATATCTGTTATATCCATGGATAGAACAGAAAAGCTTTTGTCGGTATTCCTATACCATCTTCGGTGTTCAAACTGATATGTTTTGGTTGTGACCAGATGATCAAATATTTTTACACTGTGCCTATTTATTGGTTCCTTGTTTTTTCAAAATGAATATTTAAACGCCGGAGACAGCTTCTTTTTTTCTAAAATCAACATATGGTGACTTTTGATTTCACTAGCATTCATGTGGGGATTGTTTTATAGTGCCTTGAACAAAAAAAAAACTGTAAGTTTGTGTAAGCTTGTCGAAACCATGTATGGTTTGGGAAGTGAGCCAAATTATGTTATAAGCCACATAGAAATTTTTTTTTTTTTTTAAGTTTTACGGCACTGCAGCTCCCAAGATGGTGCTATAATGTGCCAAAATTGATGTATATTGATAATAATATTATTTTTGTTTATCATTACATTTTCTGTTTTATTTAAATTTGTCTTATTAGGGGAAATAATCTCATAATCATCACCGCCGACCGGGGACATTCCAATCAAACCACATCGAGCCACCATCTCGGAATCTGAGAAAAGTTGTTGATAGATGTGTATTCTACTAGGTTCGGTCATATTAATAATACTTTAAACCGATCCATTTGAGTTAGCGAGAAGTAGATATAAAAAAAACCCAAACTGAAGACCAGGAGTACTAGAAGTTGTAGCTAGAACTAGTAGCCAACCAATGGCCCCAACCCCAGCGCACTCACCTGAATTCAATATAGTGCTTTTTTTTAAATGAATTGGTGTCTGAGTCCGTACCATGACATTTTACCCATAGCTGACACTCGAGATAACTTTGAGAAATATGTTTATTTCCTGTTTATGGCATTTGAGTCTCTACCATGGTAATTAGCCACAGCAGATTCTCGACATACCCCTGAGGAAAGAGCTTAAACCTCTTTATAGCATTGAGCCTCCACCATGGTATTTAGCCACAGCAGATTCTTTGAGGGAAGAGCTTAAACCCCTTTATAGCATTTGAGCATCCACTAAGGTGATTAGCCACAGGAGACTCTCGACATACCTTTTAGGGAAGCATATATTTTCTCCGTATCTCATTTGAGTTATCACCATGAGGTTTGTCCACGGCAGGACCCTGACACGCTATCAAGGATGGTTATTAATTTGTGTTTTTACATAAGCATGAGTAGATTATTATTCTTCTATATATTTATGCAGGTGAGTACCGCAAAGCAAAAGCCATTCATCAGCAAAAAAAACTGGATTATTGACCAGTGCCCATCCCCCTCCCAAAGCATCGCCACCCCAACACTCCTAGCCACAGTGTAACCATTAAATCTACATCCGTATTTGTTGTAATTCGAGAAAAGGAAATTGTGGATACGTGATTAAGTACATTGATATGCATATAATCTAAGCTTATTTGGCTTAGCCCAGACTCCGCAACAATGTCCCGACATGGCCCAACTAAAATTATCCCCGCCCAACAGCATGGTTTCTAGGGATATTTTTGTGTATTTTATATTTTATCATAGTAATCTAAATCTTTTAGATATTCTATCATTAAGATGATATCTTCTTTTGTTTTTAAAATGTCATTAAGATTATCAGGTAAGAATAGGGAATTCCTTTTTTCTTTTGTTTCACTGCAATTAAATATATGTTTTACAGTTAATTTATTATTACAAAATTGACATATTGGTATTTCTGTTTTGTTTAGGATATAGTTGTGGGTGAGACTAGTATGACCTATCATGATTCTATAAATTTTACTTAATGTAAATCTATTGTTAAATGTTTTAATATTTGTTGTTTCAATATATGGATGTATTTGTTGAAGATGCGTTTTTGTTTGATCCCAATCGATTTGCCATAAAGTTTTATGATATTTTGTTATGTTTGGTTTCAAATCGGAATGTGGAATTTTAATATCTATAATAGGGATGTGATGGGTTTTTATTGCTAATGTGTCAACATTTTCATTGCCACGTATCCCTATATGGCTGGGTATCCATACTATCTGAATGCTAAATTTATTTTGTATTAATTTATGTATTTTGATTTTCATGTTTTTGATAAATTCATTGTTTATTTCAATTTGTCTGAGAGCTAGTACAGCTGATTAAGAATCTGTCATTATGATATATCTTTTATTGTTTTCATTTTTTAGATGATCTAATGCTAAATTAATTGCCTGAAGTTCTGCTGTATAAATTGATGTATTATTTGGCAAATGCTGTTGGATCTGTTGTTTATCTATAATAACTGCAGCGGATGTAGATTCATTTATTTTAGACACATCAGTGTATATAATTGTATGATTCTTATGTTGAAGGAGAAATTCATTAATTATTGATTTGATTATATTTGCATCTGTTATTTTATTATATTTTGTTAGGAAGGTATTGATTGTTGGTTGATTTAGTCTCCAAGGAGGAATGTAGTCAATGGATTTATTTAAAATATTATTATTAAATGTTTTTATATGGTTTTCTATTCTTAGACTAAATGGTTTTATTGCTTTATGTTTTTTATTAAAAAGGTTTTTATATATTGAAGGGGTGATGTATTGCAGTGCCGGGTTATTTGTGTTGCAAATAGTTTTGTAATAATAATTTAATGATAATTTTAAGTAGAAATTTTTCAAGTTAACTTATTTATATGCCTGCTAAATTTATTTAATCAAAAGCAGTGGCGGATCTACTAGGGGGCGGAGGGCACTGGCCCTCTCGTTGTGAGCAGTTATTTTTAAATAAAAGTCAAAAAAAGTACATTTTCAAATTTTTTGCCTCTCGTCAAAGTTGTCTAAATCCTCCATCGATCAAAAGCATGGAACTTTAAATTGAAATTGCCATGTCGCATCACTACCACTGTACGCTTTTCTAGAACCTGATCATTTGCATTGTGAAAGTTCAGCGTAATGACTTCTAATTGTTCCTAGTTCAACGCTCAGATAAAAACGCTTCCTACAGGAAATTCAATGATCGAAATTGACTAATTTTAAATAACAATAACTAATGATTACCAAATTATAGCATTGATTTCTTGTTCGAAGATAAAATAACGTCATTCTGAAAAAATTATTTTTCATGGGCTCGAACTAGAGTTTCTATAGAGAACTATTTTAGGTATATTTTATGACAAAATTTTTATATATTGATGTTTTTGAAAAATTTAATTAATTTAAAAATATTAATGATTCATACTAAGAAAAAATTGGTATAATTTGAAAAGAAAACAAAACCTCTCAAAGGTGAATAAAAAATATCGTACTAATGTTTGTTTAGTTTACCATATGATCGAGTTTTCAAGTTGAGATGATTTTTACTTTTAGTTAATTAATTAATTATTATTTATTCTAACTTTTATTATTCAACTCGCAACGACAAATAACAAACAGAATGTCCTACTCAACAAAATGACTGCAATAACTTCAAATTCTAACGGAAAAAAAATCTTGAACTTATCCTCACCAAGTTGGAACTCACCCCAGCACAAGAAATCAAACTGGATCATCGGATCACCACAGGAAGAATGTCTGACGGACAGGTTTGGCCGCACGTACGACAGTGATTTCCTGTTCTTTGCTAGTTTGGAGAACAATGTCGACCAGCAGCTCAGTAAAGGGAAAACCATCCTCTCTCACATTATTAACAAGAAACAGGCATCTGAAAATTTGGAGAACTCCACGTCCACCACAGGTTTGAGATGAAATGAGGAATGTGATTGACTGATTGTAGTTGGGTGAATTATTCATTAATTTGAAATCTAATAAATAAATAAAAAAAGACATTTATATAAAAAAGTTATAAAAAAGTATTTTTAAAAAACGTAAACAATTTTATTCTAGGTCCTTATGATTCTCACACATTCTGGACATTCCTGTTTCAGACATACTTCTTGAATGCCGACGACCAAAAGTCGAAGCAGGATGACATGCTGTTCTTCGTCAAGCAGTTCACCATTTCCGGATTCAAAATTCCATCTGTCAGTGGAAAAGACTTTTTTTTATTTTTTATTTTATTCTTTCTATTTAATTAATTCAAATAAAAAAATGAAGTTAGTTATTATAAATTTTTTCATTTAAATAATGATGTGTTAATTTTATTTGGTTCTATGATTTTTTTAAAAAATGTTTTTCAATTGGTGCCACATCATTATTAAGATTATTTGGTATTTAATTTGAATCTGTTTTTTGTGTTTTTTTTATGCTTTCTTTATTACATTCATTAATTTTTATTATATTATGTTATTTTATGTTATATTATATTATATTACATTACATTATACTATATTAGGTTGTGTTGTGCCATGTCATGTTGTGGTATGATACAATATATGTTAATCAACCATGATTTGTAGTATTCTAATAATTCTATTGTCCTAATTAACATTTTGGAGATATATATCCATTCATTATGACGTCAGAATGATGTTGAGGTGTACAGGAGCAACTCCAGTAACCTGCCATCCCTCTTGAGTCTCGACGTCAACTGGGAGGAAACTGTTTATCTCAATCTCATTCTTCATCATGTTAGTTGGCTGGCTGGTTGGTTGGCTGGATAGTTGGTTGGTTGGATGGCTGGTTGGTCGGATGGTTGGTTGGTTGGATGGCTGGTGGGTTGGATGGTTGGTTGGTTGGTTGGTTGGACGGATGGTCGGACGGATGGTTGGTTGCTTGATTGGTTAGTTGGATGGATGGATGGTTTCTTGGTTGGTAAGTTGGCAAGATAGGTGTATGCTTTTGTTTACATAAATTCCTTGATATAATTGTTTATTCATTCATGTGCTGACTATCTGGCAGGTTGATTGACTAAACTGTTTAAAAATTAACATTTATTTTATTATGTATTATCATGGATTTCAGAGTATACAACCAACCTCACAATTAGCCAACGAACGACCAATTATATATTCACACAAAAATTTTATTATTCAATCGGTCAATCAAATAACGCTTAATCAATCAATCAACCAACCAATCAAATAACAAACGGACCAATCAACCAACTACCTCAAAAGTTTCAGTACCATGTGACATGTGCCGTCTGCACCAGAACGGGCAGGAATGAACTTCAAGTCTTGAAGAAATTTACACAGGTCTCTATTAATCTTACACACACATACACACACAAACACACACACACACGCACACCACACACACACCACACACACACGACAAATTTAAGTCCACTATTGTCAATTTTTTAATTTGGCTATCCCAATATAGACAATAACAAAAAAGGCAATAGAATGAAAATTAAAAACAACAGAAATAATAATAATGACCTTGACATTCGAAGGTCGTGTACCCCTCTCCGAGTTACAGAGGGGCAGAGGTCAAGGGCACTAGTGAGGAGATAACTTACCCCTACATCTACTTTACCATCGACAATTATGAAGAGGTTTATTTATTTATATTTACACTGTCACTATTTATTGTGGTTATTATTGTTGTTATTATTATTATTATTTTATTCTCTTATTATTAATATTTGTCATAATTTGTTTAAAACTATCGATATAGTTATCTTATTAATGACAACCTCTTAAGTTCCATTTGTATTAAAGTACTTGCAGGCATAGATAAGTGTTTCAATACGGATGATAATATTTAAGATAAAAGTCATTCATATCACCTAAACAAAATAAAAACAGTATAGAAAAAAAATATGAATATAATAATTTGAATAAAAATCATCTTCCAGGCGTTTTCAGATTTGATAATGAGAGATAGTGAGCTGCTGTGCGTGGAGTTGGTAGCCAAGGACCAGAGGGACAAATTCAAATGTGTCCTCTTCCAAGGATCCGTCAAGTATCCGGATCTAAGGAAGGGATATGACGATAAGGTAGGTATGTTCCTGGATCCGTGATAAGGCTGGTGATGCTTCTATGATGAAGTCACAATGTGGTAGAACGATGTTGCTACGATGACGTCACAAAGTGGTAGAACGATGTTGTTATGGTGACATCACAATTTGATATAATGATATTATAATTTATTATAATATAATATGGTAATAGGAGTGAGAATAAGGCGTAAATCTTTATTAAAAATTAAAGAATTGATGATAAATAGTCTTGAAACTCATAAACCTGAACACATTTTCTAATCCTAAACTTTATGCAGTAAAAAATGAAAAAAATTCCTATTGAAAAGAAATATCAATATATAGAGCGGATATAAAAACGTATAAAAGTCATGATATATATTTGGGGAGCTTGTGTAAATAGGCAAAAATTAATAAATCAATGATTACGTGATGTGATTTAATGTGATGACGATACGAATACGCTGATGTAGTATTGTGATGCAATGATGTCATGACGTTTGTTTGTGAGGATGTGATGTAATGTGGTGATGATGTTATCGTGATATCATAAGAAGGTTCGGACAGTGACCCAATCAAAAAATATCATTCAAACCCACCAACAGCGCAGTAGTCAGAACAAAAGCCTCTATCACAAACTGTCATCATCTTTCCGCTGGCTCAGTAACAACAGCATCCCCTGCAACAGCAGCAACAAAACCAGCATGGATAGCCCGGATGATGATGACGACGGGGAGGGTGTGGCCTACCAGCGGGTGGAGTTTTTGAAGATGAGGGGTCCGGATGGGAAGGGCATAACGGAGATCGGGGTGAGGAGAGCCCGGCAGGTGAAACTCGATCAAAATGGATTCAATTATTCGAGGTTTGAACATGAGCAGCTGTTTGCCATGCAGAAGAAAAAGTATAAACCAGCCACAACATCTAACGTATGTGGATGTTTTGTAATAATTGTTTTGTGGGTGCATGTTTTCCCAACAATACATCTACATTTATTCTTCCTAGTGTTTGTATGTGTGCATTCTCTTATTTGTGCATTTGTATCAGACGACTACTGATTTTTTTGTTTTAATCAGTTCTGTTGGAAATGAACAGGCGACCTTCAATTATTATTAGTAACAAAGTCAACGTATGTTTTAACTCTAAATCGCTGTTATGCATGCATACACACAAACACATTTGCGTGCCCACACGCAAAATTAATTTAACGGCACACAAATACAGCCACACAGTACACGCTCTCACTAAAGCATCCACACTTACAAGCACATACACGCACACACACGCACGCGCGCATCTACATAAACACACAGGACCAAGGAATAGGTGAGAGGCACTCGAGTGATCCAAGCATGAACAGCAAGTACTACTACTACCATCAACATCATCGCAAGAGGAACTTTAGTGGCGGCGGCGACAATAAAAACGTCGGCCACAGCAGCACGTTGTCACTTGGGTGGCCTCAGAGGAACAGGTCAAGGTCGGAAGAGGATTCGGTGGATCGGGTGGGCTTGCCCGAGGCTCTGATCAATGGCATTAAACTGCAGGATGGTTCGTAGAGTTGTTTCTAGTTAAATCCTCTTTCTTCATTTCATATCAAATAGTTAGGTTGATATTCATCAAATTTATTTTCATTTAAACAAATAAATTTATAAAAATTTTAAATTAAAATTAACAGAGTTGGATGATAACAAAAACTCGAGTTCCATTGGTTGTCTTTTTAAAACATTCGGCCAATCATATTTTGCCTTTAAAGAACAAAGACGGTTAAATAGCACGGCTCTTCATTCATTCCTAACGCATATATCCCTCCCGTGGCATCGGATCATAGCTGGTTTGTTCACTCACTCATTCATTCATTCATCCATTCATCATTCATTCTCCAATTTGCTCACTCTTTATCATTCCTACCTTTATCTCTGGAGTTATTTGGCATATTCAGTACATGCGTTAATATTTACCCTCCATTTAAATTAATATCATTTTCAGTTAATTTAATATTTTTCTACCAGCTGACCAATTGTAAATGATCTTTTGTTTATTCATTCTTTTATTCATTCATTCATTCATTCATTCATTCATTCAGCCCATCACTCTCTCCTTCTCTCTCTTATCTATTTTACATTCGAATTGCATATAACAATTGTTCTAACGTGATAATGAAATGGGAATATGGAGACATGACATGACATGACAAAAACTGATCGCTCGATTTAAAAGAGATCGTTTGATGAAATGGAGAGAGCTTTCATTCAATTGTTTTGCCCAATCATAATTTAATTAAATTAATTAATAATTTAAGTTATTTTATTTAAATTTATTTCATCCATCAGATCTGCTCGAGCCTAAAGAAAGAGCTGTCATCTCTAACACATGATTTCACTTGCACATGTACACATACACACACACACTCATACACGTTCAGTCATACGCAATCTCATATGTAAGCACCGAGGTACACTCATTTAGATCTACGTACATACAGACGTACACAAACGTGTACTTTAATGTAAGTTACGTTAACATTATTCAAAGACATCATCGTAATTACAATAATCATTATTGTCATCATCATCATCATTAATGTCATTGATCACCACATTGTTAACGTTTCATCACTGTGATCACTATCGCCATGCACAGCACATTCCCTCTAAATAAACGTTACATTATGATCATCATTGTTCACTATCATCATTATCTACATCATTGTCATTAATGTTATCATCAACACGAACCAATATATTGTTCAAGGTATCGGTAGTTCAGTTGTCGATCATTCCAACAACTGCACTTACCACCGTAGAGTTTATATTACAAAATATTCCTTCACATATATTTTCCTGACCTTCTCATTTTATAGAGTTAAACTTGCTTGTTTGTTAATTAATTGAATGTTGTAACTGTTTCTACATGTTTCATTTCATAGACTTTCTACAAATATTTCAAATTAAATCAACGTTAGGCAGTTGCTGTTAGCCAAAAATTCATTTTCCAGTCGTTACTTTTTCTAAATGTGTCTAACTTTCTTATTAAATTTTAATTAATGTTCATTGGTGTTTAATTTTCAATTGATGTTATATATGGGCTTATTAATGGGCATCCCAGATTAATTAAGGATTGACGTTTAGAAAAACCTATAAATAAATTTGCAATTTTCAATAAACTAAGTCATTTTTGTATCATCTATCTTGTATCGAATCGTGGCTTTGTGATGTTTCTCATCAACTAAGCGCATGTTAACAAATATTTTGTACATATTTTTGTAAGAATTTTTATAAAATTTAACCGTTATAGGGTTAAATCTATTAAATCGTTATAAAATCTAACGTTATAGGATCAAAACGTTCTTTGGGTAATGGAAGACTGATTTTAATGAAATTCTCTTAAATCATGTCATTCATATTTTAATGTTCGAACAAAGTGAGATATGATAAACAAAGCTGAGTTAAATTTTTTGTCTTAATATTGAAATTTTCATCTACACCAAGGAAGGCAATAAAACGTTCGTGTTTACCGATTTTTTTCCGTTTTTTTCTTTTTTTGAAACCATTTTTCGAAACATTTCCAGTTGCTTAGTTATTGTTTGATTGATGCTTTATAACTTTTTTAATAAATAATTTCTCAAAATTTTTCTATTGTTTTATGTTCGGTTTCACTTTTTCAATTTTGCTTTAACTTTTTTTTATGATACGATAAAAGCAAGGATAGCCCGGGTAATAAGCGCTTATGTATATATATATATATGTATATATATATATATATATAATTGATATATAATATATATATATATACCAATGTATTATATATATATAATTATTGATGAAAATTACAGCAGTATCTATAGTCATGTTGGCCACAATTAATTATTCTCGATGATGTTCCATTATTAGAGCAAGCTGTGCAGCAGAGTCAAACGCGTGCACGACGTCTTTGATTAGACATCGAGATCAGACCCTGGTTTTAAGCAGTAGTTTTGGACTTGTGCCTATAAAAGTCGTCGAATGCTGCAGATAATATCATGTATTGTTATTTATGTATGTATAATCATTTATATTGTATTAAGCTTCAGTATTGATTTATGAATAACTGAATTTGTTAATTGTTTCATCATGAATCACGAATAAATTGTTATAACATGTTGGTAGACACCAGTACTAACTAAATATCACAATCCCACAACTGAATCTTGTTAACCGACTGACAGTCGTTCTATTTGAGTGACATGTTATGTGAAAAAGATGCATTGGATGTTTTTGACAAAACACAAAAAATCGCTATCAACTGCCATCTATCTTCAAAAGAGAACCCGACAATGTTGATGAGATGTTATAGTCATTTAATAAAATATCGAAAAAGGTGTTCAAAAACGTAAAAAAACTAAATAATTCAGATATGGCAAAAGTAACCTATGAGTAATAAGCAATTGAGAAAAGAAAATGGTTTGTATAATAAAAGTTATTTTGTAAAACATCGTCATCATAATAATCGTCAATAACATCATCATCATCAGCATCATCTTCCACCATCATTCAAAAGAATTTCATAATCAGCACCAACTTCCCTGCTAGATCTTATAATAATTAAAATTATCAACATCTCAATTAAAACAAATTATACAAAACGAAAATAAACAAACAAAAAAAACTTAACCAAACATAAGTGGGAAACAAAAACAATAACAACAAAAACAACAATAACAGCAACGTGCAATCCAATCATAACCAGATGACCCTGCCATCTTGACCCAGCATGACCTTTTGAGAGGTCAACAGTCTGAGAGCTTCAGGAAAAGCCTTGTGTTCTGCTGTTTTGACCCTTTCACATAGGTCATCCTCGGTGTCGTTTGGCAGGACGGGAACTGTGGCCTGGGTCAGTATGGCACCCCCATCTAACTCGTTCTGTTGTGATGTGTGTGCGTGTGTGGCGTTAAGAGCGCTGAAGAAAGAGCACAACGTACCAGCAGTATCATTTTCGAAAAAATGTGAAAAACAACAAAGCAGCAACATGATTAATGCTGATGGACTAACCGACACAAAATGAACTGTACAACCGGAAACTCGAACTCCGGCCTGAAGAACCTGCCTGTGGACATGAAGGCCTTTGAATGAGGGCAGCAGTGACGGGTGGATGTTCAACATGCGTCCTCTCCATTTCTCTACAAACTGATCTGTGAGGAGGTCAAGTTTTGTTTGTTATGCAATGTTTCTTTCCACTGGTCATCAATAATAAGATGATTGTCTATTACAGAATGATGTTACATAATGTTTTTCTGGATGGATATGTCATAATGTGAGCTAATTGGCTGCAGCATGTTATGATGTTAACTGATTGGTCGTTGCATTTGATTTTGATGTTAGTCGATGCATGCGATTCTACATGATTGGTTGCTGCATGTTTTGATGTTAACTAATTGGTTGCTGTATGCATGTCATACAAACCGGAGACTATCCTCATGAAACCAGCCAGACAGACAAAATCAATATTATGTGATTTGAGATGTTGGTCGATTCTGTTGTCAAACTCCTCCCGACTTTTGAACTGTTTGTGGTCGACCACCTGTTAATCAGTGCACGAACGTAAGCCTCCATTAACTGAACAACCAACCAATGGAAAAATGAAAAAATCAGTTGATCAACCAAACATTTGATCGACCAACCAAAAGACCTGCCGACTGACCAACCAACCAGCCATCCAGTCATCAACCAGAAATTTTAAACCGACAACACAACATACACATACAGCCGAACATACACATGTTTGAATGCTGGCTTGTTGGGCCCTCTGGAGACCGTATGCATCAGCAACATTAGATACAACAAGTGTGATTGAGTATGGGGAGTCATGTTTCAAACTGTCGTCAATCAAGGCTTGTAGGTTGGTCCCTGTGTAATTGAGGTTCATTCATACTGATGCTAATGATGATGATGTTGTCTGATGATGATGATAATTTGGCAGTCAGTGATAATGATATGATAATAATGTAAATGATTGAATGGTACAGTAATTTAGTTAATTTAAACAATATTGTAATGATAGTAATGTATGAAAGTTATAGGGATGATGATGATGAGAGTGAACATCATAATTAACATAAATTTAAATTAAAGGTTGCTACATTAAAATGAAAATAGTAAAATTATGAAGATCATAATAGTGCTGACGATGTAAATGACTATGATGATGATGATGTTGATGATGAAGAAGAAGAAATCACCAGACCTGAACCAGAAATGAGTACAGCAACCTTCTTCCTACCCACGGACGATGATGATGTTGAATGGTTCCGATCTGGAAGCTGGTGACTGTTGAGTTTCCATGACTGGTGGAGAGACTCTAGCAAATTATCAACTGTGACTTTCTTGTCTGTCAGAAATGAAACAACAAACAAAACTCAACAACAAACAACAGCAACCAACCAACAATCATCAACTACAAACAGACAATCAACAATAAACAATCAATCAATCATCAGTCACCAAACTACAGACAACTCCCACAAAATCCAACACCACTCAACATCACAGTATTGGATAGCTGAACTGCTTGAAAAATAAAATACATGCCATTTATGTTTACCATTGAATTTGCTCAAAAAAAGCCATCCAATTGAGATTTTTGCTAGAAAACCTTTACACATGTATGCATAATAAACATTGAGTTACGAACATTATAAAATAAGAATTAAGAGTACAACGCAACAAAAACCAACCTGCCACATTGGAGCACTTCTCAACAGTTCCAACAATAAAAACTTCAACATCACCAACAGCAAAATTCTTCCTACATTCCTCCTTGATATTTGCATTTATCTCCTCCACCACAACTTGCACGTCCTGTCGACCAACCACCAACACCACCCCCAGGCCACAATTGAACGTTCCCAGCATCTCATCCTCTGTTACGTTGCCCTGTTATATCATTGGTGGGTGAGAGTGCGTGTCCATCAGCCGAGCAATTTGATTGGTTAAATAATGAATGAGATAAATTGTTATTTGAAAAGTTAGCTTAATACATGATTTGACTGGCTGAACTAAATAAATAGCTTGGTGAAATTTAAACCACTTTCTAAGTTTTTCTATCTGTTGGTCCTCTAGTAAGCAGCTCTGAGAATAATGAGCCACTTAACAATCCTTCTTTATTTGCTTACACCAGAGCTGCAAGTTCACTGCTTCAAATTAACCAGGCAAACATTGCACTTCAAACGTTACACACACAATCTATGCTCCGAGTTGACAGTGGCAGTATGTGGCACGGTGGAACAGTAGTTTTTATAAAAATAAACTTAATTAGATTTGTCCTTTACCACCAACACGCAATAACATGAGCAATTGAAATACAATTCAAAATAATTCAACCATGCTTGGGCGAAATCCAACAGGCAAAACATCAAAAATAATTTTCTTTCTTATCACAAGCCTCAATAATTTCCTTCTACCCTCTTACACATTCTCCTCCTTATCTCACTCAATTTCTCCGAAACTCTCACAAATCCTCCTTCTTATCTCAGTAATTTTTTATTCTCCCCTACACCTCCATGAATCTCCACCCACTCTCACCAATTTCCTCAGCCACTCAAAGAGAACAGGGACTTTCCACTTGAGTGCATCCATTTTAGCTCGAAGACCATCAGGAAGAATGCGACATACATTTCCGGGCAGACCACCCCCCGTTATGTGGGCACATCCCTTGATCAGACCATGTCGTTTCATAAGGGGTAGTAAGTAGGGCACATAAACGTGGGTTGGCGTTAACAGGAGGTCACCTGTTGCGTGGTGTGATTGGTTGGATGAGGTAGATTGCTCATAAAATTATGAGATCTATAAATCTAAAAATGGTCATAAAACCTGTAGTGACATGCGTAATAAAAGTGACTTCTTTTAAAATTATTAAACAAGACAACAAGAGATGTCAGACAGCTGCTTACACACAGTTGTCTTTCCACACGGCAACACATCCGCCATGGAGATTCCAGACACTTCCAGAATCTTCCTCACCAGACTGTAGCCATTGCTGTGAAGACCAGATGACGACAAACCAATGAGTACATCACCTTCTGCGATCTGGTTGTTGGTTGTCAGTGGCAGCAGGTTGGTTCGCTCTACAACCCCGACTGCAAAACCAGCAAGATCATACTCGTCGGTGTGGTACATACCTGGCATCTCTGCTGTCTCTCCCCCTGGACATCCAGCAAATTAATTGTAGGAACATTTCTAGATATATTTTATAATGACAGCTGGGATAAACGCAAAAACAAAGAAAGAGAAACATACGAACCAACAAGCGCACAGCCAGCAACACGACACGCAGATGCGATGCCTCTGATGACGTTTTGTGCCATGCCACTAACCAACTTGCCACAAGAAAAGTAATCAAGAAAGAAAATTGGTTCAGCACCATGGCAGAGAACATCATTGACGCACATGGCCACCAAGTCTATCCCAATGGTATCGTGCTTGTTTGCTGCTTGAGCTATCTGTTAACAAAAACTAATAAATATGTCTCTTGTGATTTGCAGTAAATTAACAACACATATTAAACATAAAATATTAATTACTCAGGAAAGCATTCAACGTGAAGGTCAAACAAACAAACAAACAAACAAACAAACAAACAAACAAACAAACAAAACAAACAAACAAACAAACAAACAGTAAGAATAATCCACCTTTAATTTTGTGCCAACTCCATCAGTGCCTGAAACAAGAATTGGGTCATTGTATTTTAATTGGGCCAGGTCAAACATGGCACCAAATGAACCAATGTTACTCATGCAACCAGACCTTTTGGTGGAAAGGGTGATGGGTTTAATGCTGTCAACGAAAAGGTCACCTTCAATTATGTTGACCCCTGAACTGGCATACGTCATGGAAGGTCTGTGTTGAAGTTATTATGGTTTATGGTCAACAATTTCAACTATTAAATTTAAATAAACAGTATTTATTTATTTTTTTAAATAATATAAAATCGAAAAATGGCAATGACACTGAATGAAAAAATGCAGAACAATGTTTGAATAATAACAAAAAAATAACATAAAAAACATTTAAGCACAAACTAAGCTGGAAAATCATGTCACATTGATGTTAAAAACTAACCAAATAAAGAAGAAATCAATCATCAGCCACTGAATCAATCATGAACATAGAAATAATTTTAAAAACATAAGACAACACAAAAGCTATCTCTCTCACCTATTCACGATTTCCCTGCAATCTCCATGCTGATGATGATGTCGATGAGAGAGATGTTGATGTGGAAAAAGATGACAGTCACTTCCCGCCATGGACCTCCATCCAATATCTCTTCTGAACTGCTTGCCCTCGAACTCTACTACATCGGCCATCTTAGAAGCCTTTGCTGCTGCATCTTTCAGGGAAAAAGTGGAAGTGGCTACCAAGGTCATGACCCTGCCTCCAGATGTCACGAGATGGCGGTCAGGGATGTGCGAGGTTTTTTCTGATGTTTTTAATTCAACTCCGGCGTGGAAGATCATCGTATCAGATTGGGAAAGAGCTTCATGTAGGTCTACAGTAATTTTTTGGGGTGAGTTCAAGACGGAAAATAAATTTGTAATCAGCAATTTAAAAAAGTTATTTTAATTAATCTAGCACTTTTATAAACTGAGTATAAATTTTCAATTCTCAATTTTTAAGGTCACACAGCTGTAAACAAAACACCCTTATGAATATTGTAATATTGTAAACTGCAAACAAAAGAACACACATAGCCAGACTATCTTATTGGCATAACATTTGATAAATCATTGGCCCATTCAACATAAAATTCCTTAAAGTGATTAGTACACCATTCAGAAGCAACTACGAATAACAACCAACAACGATTTCTAGTTTATATTTTTTATTGGACAGAAACAGTTGATAACATTTTAATGAATGTAACTGTGACAGCGCAATTAAATTAAAACGAAATCATATCACAAATAAACAACAACAACAATAACAGTTATATAATAATAATAATGATAGAATAACAATAATAATAATAATAATAATAATAATAATAATAACAATAATAAACAGACTTGTGATTGGACGACCTTTCACAATGTCACCTGGATAACCTTCGCTGGCCAGAACAATGCCCAGTGCAAACTTGTTGGTCTCGAATTGGACAAGGTCAGAGTTCAACCTGCCTTCAACACAACTCAACATTACGGCATACAAATCTGATTTCAAGAGTGGCAGCAGCACCTGAATTATAATTTTGTTGTGTCATGAGAATCATCAGCCATGGCAAACAATAATTTTTAACAACAACAGTTTACAACAAAAGTTTCATTGTTAATAGTTAATCCTTTCCACCTAAGTTCACAAGAAAAACCTCAAGTCATCCTTCTTATAAGCATATCAGAAGTAACTAACTCCAAAATAATAATTAATTATACATTTCGACGTCACAAAAAGCTTTACATTAAGAAGAAAATACACAAACTTGAGTTTCTGGGTCACCGAATCTGCAGTTGAACTCGAGAACTTTTGGTCCACTGTTGGTCATCATGAGACCAGCATACAAAACTCCTGATGTGATTGACAGTCATGTAGTTTCATTGTGGTCATATATGAGATACAATGTGATGGTACGCAAAACTACAGTAACCTCAGTTACAACAGTGGCAAGAAGGAAATCCAAATGTTTTGTGATTTTATACAAAATGAAGTTATAACAATTAATGATTTTCATAATAAAAATATTGATGATTGATGAAAAGCGTTCTCTTCAAAAATCATTTTCGTCAAATGAAAATTCAAATGAGAATTTTGCAGGCTAATCAAGAAATCACAAATCAATCATTCTCACACCTAACCAACCAACCAACCAACCAACCAACTAACCGGCCAACACACACCAACCAACTAAACAGCCAACAACCATCCAACCAACCAGTCAGTTAACTAGTCAGCCAACCAGTTTGCCAGCCAACCAGTCAACTCACTAACAAACCAAACAACTTATCAACAAACCAATCAGTCAAGAGACCTTTGAATGGTAGTCCTTCATCTTTCATTGCCCTCAATGTCTTCTTTAAAATCTCATTTTCTATCTCCAACATCTGACTTTCAGACACCTTTGTTGGTTGAACAATACAACAAAATCATTCATGTTCAGACGCAATAGGTTAAGAATTTAAAAAAGCATAAATAAAAAATAAATAGAAACAAAATCAAAAATGTTTAGTCCTTACCTAAATAAAGAAAAATTAAAGCGAAAAAAAGAAATTGGAAAAAAATGACATGTGAATCTTACCTTAGTCACGGGGCAGTAGGCCCCCATCCCTCCAGTGTTTGGTCCCTCATCCCCCTCCAACAGCCTCTTGTGATCCTGACTCGCTGGCATGCTCACCAACCTCTCACCATCACAAAAAGCCAGACACTGATCAGTTAGTTCAATCGTGAAAAAGGTCAATTACAATTAATTATCAATGATTTTTTTAAAGAAAATTTATTAAACTTATTGATCTATAATAACAATCAATCAAATAAATAATAATCAATCAAACTAAATAACCAATCAACTAATCAACCACTGAATAAACCAATCAATCAATTAAATAGCCAATCAATCCAATGAATAAAGCAATCAATCAATCAACCAACTAAACAAACAAACAAGCGATCAAACATCAACCAACCAACCAACACCACAAACAACTCACAGAAACTTCTTCCCCAACAAGGAGCTCCTCAACCACCACAGTTGATCCTGCTTCTCCAAATATTTTTGACTTTAAAAAGAATATTCAACTAAATAAATATTTAAATAAAAATGAATCAAACATTAACATAAAGAAGAGAGTTATTTATACATTAAGAGGAATCATAAATATAAATGGATGAATCCTCCACCTCTGTAAGATTATCATCAACTTGTTAACACTGAATGCAAATGACACAAAGAAGAAAAAACAATTTAATGTCACTGGACTCCATGCAAAAATGTAACAAGACACATTAATTGATGAAATGTAATTAATACAAATGATGCTGTTGATACAAAGTATCATTGATACAAAGTATCATTGATACAAAGTATCATTGATACAAAGTATCATTGATACAAAATATTGATGTCAATACAAATAAGTTGTTCACACAAATGATCTTGTTCACACAAAATGATATTGATACAAAGTATCCTTGATACGAAATATTGATGTTGATACAATACAAATGATGCTGTCGACACAAATGAAAACCTCCAGCATATCTTGTACAGCCTTGCAGGCTTCCTCCTTGTCCCTGGCCACCACCACCCCCTTCCCGGCTGCCAACCCACTCGCCTTCACCACCAGGGCTGCAAAGTCTGCACTGAAATTAGAGTTAGACAATGATCACTATTGTCATTTGGTGGTCCATAAAATGCAATACATTAAACACTATAATAATCATTCTTAATGATAAATGATGTATTAAACAGGATAAAATAGAAATGAGTGAATAGTGAGAATTGAAATATAAAACTAAGTTAACTTGTTAATGAAAGCTTTGGCATCCTGGCAGTGATTAAAAGATTTCCACTTGGCTGTTGGAATATTGTGCTTGTCCATGAGATGTTTCATGAATTCTTTACTTGACTCAATTTGGGCTGCCTGCTTGCTTGGACCAAAACATGGAATACCTATTTTTAGTTTAATTATTATTCATTATGATTATGTTAAAACAACTTAAATCAATCTAGAACACATTTTTATATTGTGATCCAATAGGAAAAAAGCATCATTAAGATAAAGCCCAATAGCAAACATAAAATCATTCATTATTAAATGAAACAGACATGAAAATAAATTTGATAGATATGATGAAGTGACTCTGATAATATATGAATATAACAACCATGGAATCAATGTGCTCAAAAAAAAACCAACAAGAATAAGCTAAACTGCTAAACTAACAACCTCTCTTTCATATCACAAACCTGCCTTTGTTAGATCATCCGTCAAACCATCTGCAAGCAGATTTTCTGGACCAATCACAACTAATTTTATATCATTTTTCTGACACCACTCAACAATGACGCAATGTTTCTTCAAGTCGAGGCCTTATGAATAAATTTTGAAACGTTATCAAATCCATTTTAATCATATCATCTTTTGAAATTAACAAAGCAACCAACTACCAACAACCGACCTAACTGACGTTTGATCTTTCCTTTCACCAACTCCGTGCCACCATTTCCAGGGCAGACAAAAACGTTGGCAACGTCTTCTGATTGTGACAATTTCCAAGCGATAGCTTCTTCACGACCCCCACCCCCCAACACTAACACGGAAACCATCGGTAACTTAATTTCAAATACTAAAACAGACTACACGCGAAATAAAACGATAATAAGTTATTTTCCATGCATAAACAGTGCATAGAACAGACAAAAATTTAAATATTTTTTATTAAACTTTAACACTGCTATTATTATGTTATAAATGTTAATTAAAATAATTTAATTAATAACAAAATAAAAAACGTATACAGAATTTATTGATGAAAATGAAATTATTTCAATTAAATTTTTTATTACACTTCCTTTTAAACTGTCGTGTAAACAAATAAAATGTATTAAAATCAATTAGTATTTGAAATTTTCTAGGAGCAAATTTCGAAATACTAATTTAGGTTACAAATATGAGCAATCGAAGACACACGACGGCCACAGCCAGATTGAAGCAGGATTATATGAGGATCAAGCACGATCCGGTTCCGTACGTCTTCGCTGAACCACTGCCCAGCAACATTCTGCAATGGTCGGTTGTGTCAGTCTGCTCTTCACACTAACACATACACACTCTCTCTCTCTCTCTCTCTCTTTCTTCCCTCTTTTTTTCTTTTGTTTGCCATTATTTTCTTCATTACATTACAAAACTTTACTACATTGCTTACTACTCAATCAAGCTCCCTGTGTTCCATGATATGGCAGTAACTGTAACTCTTCTTTAAAAAATTGTATAGTTTGCTAAGGCTCCTAAAGCACCTTGAAAAATGTCTTTAACTTAGTAACTTAAATACAAAAAGTAACCTTTAAAATATGATTTATTTTTATACTTTTTATTTTTAAAATTAACTCATGAATTACTTACTGCTTTTCAGCTATTGTGTTTTAACTTTCCTTTAGAGCTTAGTTTAGTTTAATTTAATTATTTTCTGTATAATATGATATGAGTTTCATATGACATATGAGTTTCAGTTTATAACTTGGAATAGCTTATTTTGTTATATTATAATAATAATTTATAACTGTTCTTAGTTTTGTAATTTATATTTGATGAACGCATGGTTAATGAGAATTTAATGCTGATTTTATTGATTTTATTTAATTAAATGTTAAGTAACCTATTTTTTCTATTATTTTTTGACATAACATATAATTAATAACAATAACTACTATTCATAATTTTTTAACTTTTCTTTGTTTTTTGATTTGTCTTTTAATATTTAATAAGCAGTGATTAAGTTCTGGTCATTCAAATATAATCATTATTAAAAAAACCTCTTCAACTATTAAAAGCACTTGACTTTTACTTTCACTTTAGGCATTACGTTGTGAAAGGTCCAGAAAAATCTTTATACGAAGGTCATTTCATTTTAAAAATTACTTATCATAAAAAAATTACAAATTAATTAATTGATTCCAAACACTAGTATTTAAATCTTCCACAGCTTTCATATATCATGTTGAAATTTCAGTGCAGTATCTAAAATGACAACATAACTTTTTACTTGCAAAATTATCAACATAAATAAATTTAATAAGATAATACAATATAATTAACTAATTTAATTAAATTAAATAAATAATAAAACACAGGAGGCTATTACCATGGAAAACTGGTGTTTCCAGCTGATTTCCCATTCAAGCCACCTAGTATCTACATGATAACACCAAATGGAAGATTCAGCGTTAATAAAAGGTAATGACTTTTTTCTATTATTACAATAATCCTAACCTCAACTCAACTTTCAGCACACTATAATCTTTTCCTAACATCTTTATTTTTTTCATATACATACAGGCTCTGCTTATCAATCAGTGACTTCCATCCAGATACATGGAACCCGGCATGGGGAGTGGCCACCATACTAACCGGCCTCCTAAGCTTCATGGTATGATTGCAATCTAATTTGATACAAACATTTTGATTACAGTAGTTTTTATTTTGATAAAACTGCTCACAGACATGCAATTAAAGCATTTTTTACTAATTTATATTTAAATTTATTATACTACTTTTTGTGCACATTTAATGTGCACTCATTTAATGTAGATGCCTACAATATTGAAAAAATAATTCAAAGCACATTCCTTGTCTTAAGTGTTTTCAAATTACATCATATTTTTAAACATCCAACACCTTGCTTAACTTTTATTTTTTTCCTATAGCTAGAGAAGAGTCCAACATTGGGAAGTATTGAAACCTCTGACTACATTGTTAGTTGAGTGATGCATTTGTTTAAATTACAAACTCCCATAATTTTTGAGATTTATGTGAGCTTTTAATTAGAAAAATTAACTCCTGAATGAACAGAAAAAACAATTAGCCTGGCAGAGTGCTGAATTTAACTTGAAAGACAAAACATTCTGTGAATTATTTCCTGATCTTGCTGAAGTATGCCTCTTACCATCATTCTAATGTTGATTCAAACTTTTAAATTCATTTGATGAACAACTTGCCAAACGTGCAGACATGCATTTCACGTTTGCCAGTTAGACCATTTAGCAACAGTGACGTGATTTATTACACTACAAGTTCTCATTTAATGTTCATAAAAAAATTTGACCAAACAGGAAATAGAGGTCGAACTAAAGAAACGAGAGGAAGCTAACAACAAATCAGAACAAACCAAATCAGGGAAGAGCATAAACCTGACTATCAACGAAATAGCATCCAACAATGGCAGAATTTTAAATGGAATCATCACAAATTTAGCATTTTGTGCTGGTTTGGCTGTGTTTGCTTATATGGTGAAGCATGTTATAAGTTGTGTGCTGGAGGAAATGTGATGTAAATAAGGTCGATGATTGGATGGATAAGTTGAATGGGAATATAAACATTTTTTGAAGCCTTCGATTTAATCTATATATTTTTGTAGCTGACTAAGTTATAAGTTAATAGTAATAGCGTCGGGTTGCCTGGAAAAACTCAAAAACGTTTAATCTAGCTTTTCAGCAAATGTTTCATCTTGTACATAAAACTATTAACATTTCACAAATTTTTCATTTTAACAAGGTAATCAACTAACAACAAAATTAAACAGTCCATAAAATTCATAACGCACAATTCTATCGCTAGCGCTGGGCACGTTCGCCTTCTTTGATTTCCTACCTTTTCATCATGTGCCCGTCGGCATGGACTCACTTCACTGAGCTGGAAGATGCGTAAGCTAAGTTTTGAGGTGTGAACATTGTATTGAACGAGTTTGTGTGGTCATTGTATTGTAATTGTATTATGTGGACGCATTGGTAGAGCCCATTTCTACTTTTTGTAAACAAGTTAAAAGTGAATCGAAGGCAACAATGCTGAACGAAACGACTGAGTATTCTATGGCGGTGGTTCCCTGGACGTTCAACAATCCGAGAATTAGTGAAAAGTCAAAGGATATCATCTACTCGTTTAGCAAACAAATTATAAAGTTAAATCAAAATTTTGATCTTGAGATTAATAGAGAACAAAACACTGCCTTCAAACTCTGGAATGGAGCCTTTCTGTTAGCAAAATACTTGGATGACAGAAGTATATATCCGGATGGTTTCTGGGTAGGAAAGCGTTGTTTAGAATTAGGTGCCGGTTGTGGCCTTGTAGGAATTGTGGCTTGCACGTTGGGGGCTGAGGTCATCCTAACTGATTTGCCGGAAGCTACAAATCACACAAGAAAATGCTGTGAATTGAATTACGACGACAAGATGATGAGACAAGGTAGGGTGGAAGTTGTTAACTACACTTGGGGTGATGAATTTCCAAATCTTCATGATAGAAATGATTTTGACTTTATATTTGGTTCAGACATCATATATCAACCTGATACAGCCATGAAGTTGATTGGAACATTTAAAATGTTGTGTCGGCCCCAAACACAAATTTTGCTTTCTTATAAGAACAGAGGTCTCGGAGAGGATGTAGTTTTTGATTTGTTGAAAAATGAAAATTTTAAATGTTTAAAAATTGACAGAAAAATTCATACAAATGAATTCAAAAATTCAGATTATGATTTATTTCTTATTAAAAAAACATAAAAAGAATAATTTTTTACATGCAAAAACAAAACAAACTTTTGCATGCTTTGAAAATTACAGTTCTGTGTGAATATTATTAAATGTTTAAAAAAACTTATTCAATTGTTAATAACTTTAAAAATAAGCTTCGGGAAGCTTCAACTTTTGCAAACTTGTGTATGTACATCTAGAATATTTGTTGTCTTATATAATTGATAAAATATGTAATCTAAATATAAAATTATTTCAATAATAAAAATTAAATATATACATTATACATAATGAAGCAAAAATTATATTAAAAAATAGTTCAACAAAGTTATACAGGCAGACAATATTTCTGTAGAAATATAAATTAAATAACACACAAGATAAATTGTATAATAAAAAATAATTTTCAATGACTAAATACAATTAATTTTCAAATGGGAATGTCTATATTTGTAAGCAAAAAAATGATAAAGTAATAGTTAATTAATAATTGATATCATATCAATTAAATTCAATGGAGTGTTCTCTGAACTAAATATTGCATGCAGTAAGTAGGCCAACAACGATATTTTGTAATACTTGCTTACTTGCCATTAAATGTGAACAAAATTGAGAGCTGTCAAGTGAAATAAATCAGCAAAATAATAAACAGAGAAGTAGCAGTTCTTACACTGAATGCGGATTCCTACTAATTAATTAATTATTATCTTAATTATCAGAGTATGTTGACAGAACATTGAACAGCTATCATAGAAGTCTGTTGTGATGTGCCAAACATTCACGCTGTCTAATGACGACCTTCACAAATCACATGTGTCATAACATCTATTTGAACAAGTGAAATGATCACAAAATCGATTTAGATTATGATTTGTATGCCTTACATAATGCTCCATTAGCATGAAATATACAGCACAAACAGACATTCTACATGCACTGAAAAAAGACGATTATAAATTATTACAGAACAATAAACACATTGAACGAAGAAGACAAAACAAGAATAAAAAAAATTGAATAACATTAATGATAGTTCCAAAATATTCGTTGTGATGTTTCCCGCATCTTGTTATTAAACCCCAAACGTGCACCCTCACTTGTGTCGTTAGCAACGAAAATAGTCGATGCTAATTAAATATACAATGATAGAACAGACGCCAATAATTGCACAGCTCACAGAAACATATACGTATGTACATATGCACGTACCATAATAATAAAAAAAATAAAAATAATAAGAAAATAATTAACAAGATGAAACCAAGGAGGAAGACATTTCGTCAATACTTGCCATGTCAGAGTCCGTATAAGAAGATCTTTGGTTCTCTGTTGGAAAGAATATCGGGGTGGCAAATGACGTGAGCAGGTGACGTTTGATGGGGTAGGGGTAAGAAGAGGTGAAGTACTCGGGCGGGGGTAGAAAATATGGCGGAGCGTTTGAGATGGTGGGCGATCCGATGATTTGGTTATCATTTGTAGAAGAACTCGCTGACCGTGGACGATGTGTTTCGTTCTTAGCGGGGGCTGGTATGTGGGAAAGATTTAACTTCACTGGCGTGGTAGTTAGTGGTGGACAGGTGGCTGGCACTCTAAAGGATGTGATAAGTCTTTCATTCGGATGAAAAAGAAAGTCATCGTCATCGATTGAATTAGGGGGGATTTCATGGTCTATGCCATCATTCCTATCAAAAACCTCATGTCTGCTATCAGTCAGCAATCCGTTTTTGTAGATACCATCTTCACTGACACGATCTTCCTCGTCACCGCCATCATTCGTTTTGTAAATAATTTTGTGGTTGTTGGGGTTGATGGATGTCCCAGAAGGGACTCTGAAAGGGGTTGACTTTTTTTCTCGCACCTGCAGGTCCCTACTGCCGCCATCGAGGAGATTTATTTTGTTCTTCAGTTTTGTTATGTCGTACTGCAGAGAGGTGATGTCCAATATTAATTGAACCTGGGATGAAATTAATATTTATTATTACACTATTTTGTTTTTCATTTATTTGCCCAAGTGCTGATGGGCTTATTTACCCAAGAACAATTATTACACTACTATCTTTTAAAAATATAATTAAATACGAAAAAAAACATAGAAACCTGAGTAAAGTATTCAACGAGATGACCGCCCCCTAGTAACTCGAGTGGACTGAGCCACCTCAAATAGCAGTGATCCCAGAAATGCAAACAGGATATATAAGGCTTAATGTACAAAGTATCAGGATCAGTTTGTTTGTTGGCACTGAGGAGAGGCGATGATGAGGACGATGTGAGGGAGGATGCCAGGTTACTATCATTAGAATCCATATCGAAATAAGAGATGAATTTGTTATTTTTAACGTCAGGACTTCCCGGATAGCAGGATGCGTTGATTGACCTTTTAGCTGTTTTATCGCGCAACAGGTCTGACATTTTATCTCCATTAGTTGTTTCTGATTTGTTCTCGTACAGCGATGACGACATTAACGAAGATGACGTTGTTGGTTTGTCTGAATTCGGGATGTCCCCATTGAAATCAATGAAAAATTTGGCTTTTGATTTCGGCGTTGCTGCTGCTGTTGCGTTGTTAATACCCGTTGGTAGGTGTTGCTTAAAAAAACCAAAAATGTCTTTCTTGCCAAAGTTGTGTCCGAGGAGAATTTTTTTATTGATTGAATCAGTATTATAAGCGATCATCTGCAGCAATCCTATCTTGTTGTTGTCGTTGTTGTTGTCGTTGTTGATGTTACTAACGATGTGGCTGTTGACGTTAGGGCCATTACAACTATTGACAGACTTATTATCATCCAGCCTGCCGTGACTTCTATTAATTTCCGACCTCGTCAATGGATTGCTAATTGGATAACCAGCAATTAAGTTATCCAAATCCGCGTCTGCATCGTCATCGAGCAAGAGATTGCAGCTCTTGATTGATCGAATGAACTGCTTGTAGTAGAGAGGATTTCTGAAGTAGGATATATCATATTCGTTGTACTGGACCTGCCAATCAAAGACGTCGAATAGTTGATGTCGGGGACAGCTAGAGGACTGAGGCGTGGTGGATGATGGTGATGGTGGCGAGAGAGTTGGATGAAACCGTAGTGTAGGGGATTTCAATTTAAATGATCTCGGAGTAAGCTGCTTGTGATGATCGTCACTCTGTACAGTAAATAATGTGTTCGCGGTCTTATTTTTATACTTACCTTATTTCGATAAAATAATGAATAATTATTATCATTCATAATTTTGATGGTTTAATTAATAATATACTGGGAAACAAATTTCTCTAATTATACATTAGAAATTTAATAAAAATTTTATTAAAACTAAAAGAATAAAAATCGAATCACCGTAAATGAGCATATGAATATGAAATAAACAATTAATCAACTAATAAATAATTATTAATATAAACAATTATTCAAGTATTAACTGCGCTAATTATTACTATTATTATATGAACGATAAATGAAATGAACCAATCAAAAATTACTATACTATCAACCAACTAACTAAGCAAGCCTAACCAAGCAAACGTAACCAACCAATCAATCAACCGACCAAGCGTAAATGGCCAACCAATTAACCAACCACCAGCCAGCCAGTTAACCAACCAACCAATCAACTTATCAACCAACCAACCACCAGTGAGCCAACCAACCAATCGATTTACTAGCCAGCCAGCCGGCCAACCAACCAACCAACCAATCAGTCAACCAATCAGCCAGACGTATCCAACAGACCTCATCCTCAGTGCTCTTCCTGCTCACGTAGTTCCTCCTCTGTTTCGGTGAATTGCACACGAAAGCGTCGAAGAGGCCAACGAACAACGAGTCGTGCAATGTCGTGAGGTAGATGGTCGAAAATTCGAACTGGTCGCGATGCTGCTGTGTTATCTGCCACACACAATCAAGGAAAGCTTGGAACACGGGACTCTGTGGATATCATCATCATCATCAATGATAGGATAATGAATATTTCATCATTAGTGAAGTTGCAATTATCATCACCACTGATACTATCATTATCATTATTGACAGAGTATTATAACTATCAAAGTTGATATCATTATCTGTACCACTGATTTCATTGTCGCCAGCATCAATGACGACGATGATTTTTCATAATAAACATACATTCTCCTCATCTCAAACATTAAAATGCCATAAAAAACAACCTGCGAACCAAAAAATCATTACAATATTTTCATTATCTCATCACTGTAGAACAGCGTTACATTATAACTATTGTAATGTTACCGACATCATTTTTACAACGTCGTCATCATCATTAACAACAACAACAAACAATAAAAACGCTAATCGTTTTTGGTAACAACACCACCAAAATAGACTACCTCCACATAGGTTGCTTAATTTTTTTCGGCTTGATAAGTTTATAACGATATGTTAATGTCTAGGAATTTGTGCATATGACTTTCTAGGCTTATTGTAGACTCATTTGATAACTATTTTATAGAATTGGTCAAAAGGCTTATATAGCCTGTCCTCACATGTTAATTATTAGTATCATTATCATTATTAGTATCATTACCATTATTATTATTATTATTATTATTATTATTATTGATATTATTATTATTATTATTATTATTCATAAAAAGGGTGACGCAAATGATCCAGCTAATTTTCGTCCAATCACCTTGCAACCTACTCTATACAAAATACTTTCAACATCTATCAACGATCGAATCTATAAATTTCTCGAATCTAATTCATTAATAAACAAAAACATACAAAAAGGTTTTTATCCAAAAGTTGATGGCTTGACCGAGCATACCCAACTCCTAACTCACATGCTCAATGATGCAAAGAGACATCAACGAACTGTCATTGTCACTCTTTTGGATCTTCGAAACGCATTTGGCGAAGTCAGCCACAACATAATCTCATCAACCCTAGATTACCATCACATCCCTTCCCAAATAAGCAACTTAATCAAAGCAATATATGCCGACTACACAATATCTGTTTCTGGATGCGACAACCTTACTCCTCCTATCCCGGTTAGACGTGGTGTTCTGCAAGGTGATCCCGTCTCCCCATTAATCTTCAACATGTGTTTTAACCCATTGATGAAGTTGATCGAAAAGACAGAATATCAACAATGCGGTTATATTTGGGGACCGACGGCCAACTTAAAAACCAATGCTTGGCTTCAATTTGCGGATGACACAGCGATCATCGCCAACAGCACAGATGGTGCTCAAAAATTAATCGACTTGAACCAAGCTTGGTGTAAAGCTACCGGCATGAATATGAGGATTGATAAGTGTTGCTCGTTTGGTATGAGGAAGAAGAACGGGGGCTATGAACAATTTTCGCCGAGGCTGACCATTGATAACAAACAAATCCCTCATATCGATATGAACGGTCATTTTGAATACCTCGGCAAAATTTATGATTTTAAAGGAAACAACTCGAAGGCAAAAGAATTACTGATTAAAAAGCTGAAAAACATGCTGTCAGTCGTCAACGAGTTGGACACAACGCCCCAATGGAAACTCCAAATACTACGAAGATATATTCCGTCTCAGTTGGCCTTTGAGCTTCGAACGTATGACATGCCGTTGACGTGGATTGGAAACAACCTGGATCCTATGGTTGCGGAATCAGTAAGAAATTGGCTTTCCCTCCCGATTAGCAGTTGTATATCTGAATGTCTATCCCTCCCCTTCAAATTGGGGGGCCTGGAAATCAGATCGCTAAAACATTTTGCCGAATCACTCAGAGTTAAACTCAGAAATTATCTGAGATCTCACGACAACAAAGATGTAAACTGTCTGTGGAGTGATTCGTACAACAACTACATTAAGATCGACAACATGCTTCCTGATTCAGAGAGTGTGAAATCGACGCTCAATGCGTTAAAGATTCGTCAACATGAAGCCGATTTCGATCATGTGTCGCAACTTTCCTGCCAGGGAAGAATAATTAAAGCAGTTAGAGAACACATTCCACCAATCCACGTTACCCGATGGTCGAGGCTCACTGCCGATCTTCCGGAGGTCTTATTCAGATTCGTTAGGAAAGCATTGATACAACAACTTCCGACAAATGCCAATCTTTCCAGATGGGGCAAGTCTTCCAACGCCTTATGCCCGCTTTGTAACGCGCTTCAGACAAACAAGCACGTTCTGTCAAATTGTGATTCAGTAGCGGCTTTAAAAAGATTTACAACACGCCACAACAAAATATTATCTTTAATTCTAGAGAAGATCAAATCATTTGCTAAACCAGAAGTTGCAATTTTTGCTGATACGATGAACGACGAATTTCTCCCAACAACGTCCCTCTTCAAATCGTTTCGGCCCGACATAGCACTTCTCCGGGGGGACACAATTGAAATACTGGAACTGACAATATGTCATGAATCCAACTTCTCTAGTTCAAGGGATTACAAAAGATCTAAATATAAAAACCTACACAGTAATTTGATCGACGAGAAGAAAGATTCGAAAATAATTATTAATACATTTGAAATTTCACCTTTAGGCTTTTTTAAATATTTTTATTTATCGTTTGTTGATTTTATTTGGACTGACCAATTTTGCAATGATTTAATTAACTCGGCAATAACATCATCGTACGCTATTTATTGCGATAGAAACTCGATCGCAACATAATTATTTTTAAACTGATTTTGAATTTCTCGTTGTACTCATTGCATGTTGATTCAATGGCGAGCATCGTAGATTATTTCACAAACCTTTATATCATTCTAATTATTTTATTTTATTTTATTACATGTACATTTTGGCCAAAATAAAAGAGTTTCCATCATCATCATCACCATCATCTTCATCGTTAACACCATACTGAACTTTACTATTATTTATCATCACAACAACAGCAACAACATCAGCAACAATATCAGCACTAATGTGATTAATCACATCAATTAAAATTAATCCCATCATTGATTATTATGAAATGATTAACACCAGGCTATGAAACAAACATCGGCTAATTGCACACTAATTGACTCATATCTTCACATGATGATAAATTCCAATTTATAAAAATGACTACAAAAGGATTACACACATACACATTTATTACAAAAAAATAATTACAAACTTTTGTGTTGTGGTTGGAGCTGCCGCTGCTACTGCTTCCTCCTCCTCCTCCACTACCACCACCTAACCCGAAGCTACCTCCAGCTAAATTTATGCCACTACTCCCAACATTGCTGCTATTATTAGCATCGGACAAAAACCCCAATCTATAACAGAAAGGATGGCCCATACTCATCCACTCTCGTTCTATCATTCGTTCGAACCCATCCAATTTCCTCACTCTCTCGTTCATCATCAGCTGACACAAGCAGGAAATGAGGAGGCTGTAGTCAGTGGCGACTGCTTCTGTGGATGGATGTATGAAGATGTGGATGTGTGAGGATGTGGATGTGTGAGAATATGTGAAAATGTGGAAGTGTGAACATGTGGATGTGTGAGGATGTGGATGTGTGAGGATGTGAGCATGTGCGACGGTGTGGTCTTGCGACGATGTGGATGATTTGAAAATTGAAAAAATAAATAATTATGCAGAACATAACAAATATATCCCCAAGCTAAGAATGTTTGCAAATCGATATGCATACAATTATAACAAAGGGAATGCAGAGAAGAAATATTTCACATGATGTCTAGCTTATTCGCTACTCTCCATTTTCTTCTTTTGAACAAGCAACTACAATACGGCAGAGCTAATTACTTGCACATCAATTAAAAAAGGAACATGGGTAAATTTTATTTAAAGCAATGGTAATTATAACAACACTAATATTAATGACAATAATAATAATAATAATAATGTCTGTGTGTAAATGTTTCAATTGAAGAGCAAGGAAGAAAAGAAAGAGGAAGTAGAGAGGACGGGAAACCTTTCAGAATGACGATCCTATTGTCGACAGTCATCAAGTGAACAACCTCCTGGGCGACGTAAAGGAACGCAGACACGCAGGCCATCCAGCGAGACGACTCGACCGACGCACACCAACTGCCGTCACCTCGCCACAGATCTTTCGTGGTGGCTGGACGACAAAATTAATCAAACGTTGCTACAAAGTGTTTATCATCAGTCAGAGCTGTCACTGAAATTATTTCTAAGTATAACATTGAATGAATGTTAAGAAACATATAAAACTACATGCACGGTACTAACCCAACTGACAAATCATTCATCCAGTCAGCCATTCAATCAACCAACCAGCCAACCATCAATCAACCAACCAGGCATGCAGAGGTCCATAAAGGATGAGTGTGCCTTCTGTAGCTCCATCAAACTGGGCAAGCCCAACATTGGGGACCCCAGGTCAACGATTTTCATCTTCACCGCATCACATGATGTCGTAGATGATGATATTTGCTTCACAATGTGTTGCAAAACTCTGTAAATAGATCACATTTGTTTGCTTAAAAAGGCATAGAAACCACATGCAAGTATAAACATTTATTGGCATATTACAAGAACTTCAAATTAACACAATTACACTTGAATGCATACAATTATGCTCATACCAATAAAAACGTATACCAGCCAATGAAAATTTAACAAACACACAAACAAACAAATAAAAACAAACGAAGAAACAAACGAACGAACGAAGAAACAAACATGTTTTCAGATCCAGGGTTCGATTCGTACGACATCCTCAGCAGGGAAACACCATTGGTATGTGTGTACGACCAGATCTTTGTATCATCAATGTTTCGAGTCATTTGAAAATTTCCATTTGGAGATTAGAAGGTACAAAAATAGCGGGATGAATGTGTACAATATATGAAAGTAACACTAACAGAAAAAAATTGGTTGATACGATATGATACGTAGGTTAATTCTGGATACATTGATAACACGTTGTCAAGATAATTTTAATTTACCAAATGAAAGACAAACATATGACTTAATTGAATGAATGAATGAATAAGCGAAATGAATGAATGAATGAAGGAATGAATAATCGAAATGAATGAATAAAGGACTAACAGGGAAGCAGGGATTGCTGCTGTTGAGGTTGTACTTGTGTATCAACTCGTCAGTCAGAGACTCAGGTACGACGAAACATTCCGGTAAGCTAAATTGTGGTGAAGTTGCATGTGTGAGGAATGATGATTGTAGAGTGAAGTTTCTTACAAAATAAGAAACTCCATGTACTGAATGACAGTTCTCATTTACATATGCAAATGTTCATTTAAGTTGTATTTGTATTTAACATTCCAACGTTGAAAATATATTAAAATGTTAACAAAAAAGTAAGTTGTTTTCAAGATATTTACTTCTCTGCCAGTTTAAAGCCCGAATTACAATTGGTTACCCTGTAACCAATCGCGTTGCAGTTGCTAAGTTCTGTCAGCCAATAAGAAACCTCATTATAAACACTTGAAAGAGACTGGAAACCTATATTTTAGTAAAACATTTTTCAACATTTATAAATTATCTCACGATTACAACAAGTTAAGAGGATTGACATCAATGCCTACTTACATCAAGACAAACAAGCTGGTAAATATTACTACTATTGGCGAAAATATTCTCGCTAAAAATACCTTAACATCGAATTTCATTATAAATAATTATAATTAAATAATTATAAATAACAAAAATGAGGTTGGCTTTATTGGGATGGGCAGACAGTCATCAGAAGGATATCAATCAGAATTAAAAACTCTTAATTAATCACATTGATTTATTATCATACATCATAACCATTATCATCATACACAGGAATGATATCATCCCGTATATCATAATCATATTACCATATGTAATCACTATTATCATATATTACAATCATGTGTGTTAAAACCGTTTTATCATATATAGTGGTTATATCATCCTATATCACGATGATACTATCACAAGTTATAATTGATATATCATCAGCTATATCATCAGTTACTTAAAGTCATAATCAGGTAGGTCGAGGTTTTGAATAGAAACATTTTTTGTTTGTTATAACATAATATTAATGAAAGCTACAATGCCGTCTGAACCATCAGTAATAAGTAAATTGAAATAAATCATTAAAAAGAACAAATAGAAAAAAATAACAAAATCAATCAATCAATCAATCAATCAAAAAACAATCAAACCAGATGAACAAGTGCCCTTGAAAACATTGGCAAAGAGGAGTTCGTGCCGTGTTGGATTGGTGAATTGGATGATGGAGTATAAGAGCTGATGGGTTGTTTGTCATTAATTTAAGATGACGTCATTTGAAATAATATAATTTAATTATCATGAAAACTTTATCGTGTTTTAAGTTTTAATTGCTGTACTATTATTATGTTAATACTAAAATGGTTTAAAGTATTCCTATTACTACTACTTTTGCACTATTACTGCTACAAAAACTACACCAACTCCTTCTGTTGCTACTGCTACTATTGATGCTGCTGCTACTACCAATGTTATTAGCTAACACAATAACAGCCAAAACAAATTTTACAAAAAGTTTTGAACAACATTTTCGTTTTCTGATTAAACTTCACGTTACTACAATTACTATTTTTACTGCAAGAATTACAACAAAAGTCTAAACTGAACCTTCTTAACGTCATCAGAGTCTTCAACATTGTTGAATGAGAACAAGTGTAGGCTGAAGTCCTTTTGTTAATTAGTGGTTAATATTGTATTATAGACGATGAAGAAGGCGAGGGAAATAACGAAGATGATAACGATACGGTGTAATGATGTCTTTTTGTTGATTAGTTGTTATTACAGATGATGATGATGATGATGATGATGATAGTGATGATGACAGTGATGATGATAGTGATGATGGTGACGATGAAGATGACGTCACGATGATAGTGATGAAAACAATGATGTTACTGATAAAGGTATGATGATGAAAAATGACGCCGGTGGTCGATGAATGATGATGACACGAGATGAAAAAGACATTGATGTTACAATGGAAATGGCGGTAACCCTGAACGCTGATGATAATGACAATGGTACTAAAGATGATGATTATGATAACAGGAAGATGAAGTCAAAAGTGATGACGACGACGATGATGATGATGTAAGAGTTATTTCTAATCATGTCACTCGTGTTTTTTCGTTTATTAAAATGACAGAAACTTTTCAGAAAATCGTGAATGGCAGGCAGTAAAAAGAAATACAGCAAGTAAAAGATGAAAAGACAAAAAAAAAGAGAAAGAGAGAAAGAAATAACAAAAAAGATATAAAAAGAAAAGGAGTTAGAAAAAGTGAGACAGATAGAGTCAAAAAACATCAGATCAGACATACAGACAGACAGACAGAACAAAAACCCATAAAACTGACCTTGCAGTAGACTTCAAGTTTTTTGCAGCCACCTCTGGGCAGCGAACCTCCTCTGTGCAGTTTCTTCCTCTTGTTCTTACCCACTGAAGATCGATTATCAATTGAAATTTTGGCCTCATTAAAAAAGATTCATTCAAGGGAACATACAACTTCATCACCATCATCATTAATTTACCAATGGTATAATTAATATTATTGTTTATGTATAATTAAAAAGTGAAAGGTGCTTTAATTTTATTTATTATTCTTTAAAAAATCCAAATCTGACAGAGGCAGAAACTCTTTACAATCGAGTATATGAAAAGAATTTATTAATCATCCATTAATATATTAATTAATTAATTAATAATTAATTAATTAAAAAAAGGACAACAGCATTAATTTATTACTATATTACTATATTAAATTATTACTATATTAATTAGTTAAAAATAAGACGACAGCGTTAATTATGAATGATAATTCGTAGAGTAAAGATGTTAATGGGGATGATAATGCGATAATGACGATAATGATGAAGTTGATTTAGATGAGGATGAATCAATCAATGTCTTCTCGATTATGTATGATGTATAACGTTGCTTCTTTGTCAGTCGTCAGTTTTTGACGCCAGTTCAGGCGATCAGTTGCATCAAGCTCTTTGAAGCTCCATGAGTTCAATCTTGTTGGATCGTTTCCGTTTGTGCCCGGGTCTTTTTCAGACGGACTCTGCAGCGGTTGCCAAGTACTTCGAGACCTGCAACAGAACGTATCATGGACCTGTTTTCACTTAATTTGATATTACCAAACCGTCGCTCATAACCCAGCTTGACATAAAATCTCAGATGATTTGAGGTCACTTTTAGGTTAATGCTTTGCATCCATTGCAGCATTTTCGTATCGCCACGATGAAGTTGTTCTTCGAGTTTTGCTGTCACTGATCACTGGTCAGGGTCACTGGTAAGGGCCAGGCTTCTACGCCGCCCAACAACACGGGCATTTTTCTTGCAGTTGTCGGATGAGGTAAACCGCATCAGTGGTAGATTTTACGGCCAAAATAACCAAACTGATAGTTGCTGATTTTGATGATGCATGACTTTAGCCTCTTCTCAATGATCTTCTCGAAGATTTATAGTGGGTGTTCTAGCAGGTGTATAACGCGATATGATAAGCAATTGAAGGGGTCTCCTTTGTCTTCGTATAACGGTACTGTTGTACTGCCGGTACTGTTGTACTGGATACCTTTTGATGGCATTGGACAACTCTTCCAGATCCCGAGACAAATTTGTATTTGATGAGGATGAAATGAATTAAAATAATGGTGAAATTAATGACGATGATGATGGTGATGGATGATGAATACGATGATGATGATGATGATGATGGATGATAAGTCGGTGATTTCGATCAAAATGATGAATACGATGATGATGAGGATGATAAAAAATATGATCTAAATGAGAATGATGACGGTGATGTAAGATATGTAAACAATGATAATGATGAGTCAAAGTGTATCTAATGCTAATTGAATGCCATCAATAGAACAGAAAATAAGTTGATAAGAGAAAAAATTTATATATAACAAAAAATAAAATTAAAAAATAACAAAATATCAAAAACAACAAAAATAATAAGGAAAACAATAAAGGTATGATGAATAAAAATAATAAAACGATAGATAAAATAAGTTAACAACAACAACAAGAGTCCCAATGAGTAAATTGCACATGAAAAAATTTCAATCGTGATTCATCAAATCACTGTTACACAACAATAATAATAATAATGATAACAATAACGACAACAGTTCTAGCTATCTAGAACAACAACAACAACAAAACAACAACAGAGATAATGAAAATAATAATAATAACGATAATAATATTAATATCATTATTACTATTAGATGTATAATAATAATAATAATAATAATAATAATAATAATAACAATAATAATAATAACAATTAATAATAATAATAATGGCAGCAACGGCAGCAGCAGTAACAAAAGCAACGACAACAACTACATACAAACCTTGGTAAACTTCATTAATGTTTGTCAGTGGAATGTCATCTGAAGTTAGGAATTTATGGGCTCTGTATAAACTCTGTAATGTAATGGCATATGTGTAATTACACTAACAACAACAAAAACAACGACGACAACGACAACAACAACAACGACAATAACAATTACTATTACCACAATTGTTGTTGTTGTTGTATTCATAATGATATGATATAATGGAAATAAATGGATATAAATTATCATCAACATCCTCATTATCATTCATTACTCCCCTCACATCACCAATATCAATCTTCACTATAATTATCACCACAGTCAAACATCATAACTTCATTCATCTTCATCATCACAGTAGTCAAACAACATCACCTCGTATATATCAACATATCATTATCACCACAACACAATCACATCACCCTCATCATCATCCTATCATCACCACAACAATCGCATCACCAATATCATCATCTCATCATCACAACAATCGCATCACCAACATCATCACCTTTTCATCCTCATCATCACCTCATCATTACAACAGTCGCATCACCAACATCTTCACCTTATCATCATCGATGTTGTTGTTGCTGTTGTTGTTGCTGATGTTGTGATGATAAAGTGACACGATGGGGACAAATGACAGTCTGTAGGTGGTGATGTAGAGACTACCGAACACGCCACTGCCACCATCACTGAATGGAAGGTACCTCGCCACGTTCCTCACCTCCAGCACCACAATCTCCCCTAATCGTTATCATCATTTTCATCATTGGTATTATTACTATCATCATCATCATCATTATTATTATTATTATTATTATTATTATTATTATGATCATCATCATCATTATTAATAATAATAAATTGAAAAATAATGATGATGATGATGTTCATAATGATACTGGTATATATTATTATTATTATTATTATTATTATTATTATGACAATGATGATGATGATAATGATGATTATACTTATACTAACAATGACAGCAAATCATAAAAATAATAACCATCAGATAACAAGAAATGATAATTATTCTTAATATTTATCATTATTATTATTATTATTAATTATTATTAGTAATATTAATATAATTAATTATATTTGCTAGTAAATAATGAAATAATTATTCGTCTGTTTTTTTTTCTCTTAAATATTCTTCAACATTTTATGTTCATCTTATAAAATTGAAATAATTTCTTGAAATAAAATATAATTAAAATAATTTCTTGAAATAAAATAAAATTAAAATAATTTCTAAAAATAAAATAAAATCTCATTTAATAAATGTTGTTTTTTTTATAGATATAAATTTATTAGTTATTTATTGTGAAATTATTATAAAATAAATTGTATAATAAAAATAACAAAGTTGTTACAATGAATAAATTAAGCAATGTCAAGATTGCAAGAATGACCATTGAAGTCATAATTTTGTGTTATTGTTCTGATACAATATTGTTCTGTTACAATATTGTTTTGTTAATGTGATATTGTTTTGATGATTATATATTGATCTGTAAGTGTGATATTGTTCTGTTAGTGAAATGGCAAATGACATTATCAAAGCAAAGCGTACGAAAAAAGACATAGCTGGTGCCTCATGTATCAAAAACGACAAAAATGAGATGGTTCTTGAACAGGGTAAGATCAAGCTACAGTGGAGAGAATACTTCAACCGTCTGTTAAATGAAACAAATAACACCAATGTCAACTTTGACGCTCCACCCATCGAAGGTCCGATTCCAGACATCACTGAAGAGGAGCTTACAGAAGCTCTGAAAGCTATGAAGGATGGAAAGGCAGCAGGGCCCTCTGGACTCACAAATGACATTATCAAAGCATCTGGTACTGCAGGTATCCAAACGTTACTACAACTTTGCCATTGAACTGTTCATCATACCGGGGTATACGTCTGTTAGAACACTCCCTGAAAAGTGTCGAGAAAATCATTGAGAGAAGATTAACGTCGTGCATCACAATCGGAAATTATCAATTTGGTTTCCTAGCGGGGAAATCAACAATTGATGCAATTCACATCCTTCGGCAACTGCAAGAGAAGTACCTCGCAAAGCATCAGCAACTATCACACATTTTTGTAGACCTTAAAAAAGCATTTGATCGAGTGCCCCGTGAAGCTATCAGGTGGAGTCTACATCAACAACTCATTCCAGAATATCTTTTTCGACTTGTGATGGAAATGTATACAAATACTAAGACTCTTGTCAGCACAACGGTTGGAAACACAGATGCATTTGACATCGGCATTGGAGTTCACCAAGGCTCGATTCACAGTCCACTGTTATTTATAACTATGATGGAAGAAATCACAAAACCAATATGCACTGGTGACATTTGGAATCTAATATATGCTGATGATATCGTTTTAACAGCTACGTCTGAGCAGAATGCAGCACAGATGTTTGAAGATTGGAACATCAGATTCGTCAATTATGGATTCAAAGTCAACATCAGCAAACCAAAGCAATGAACACTGGTGAACCCAGCCAATTCACAGCTACTGGACGATGGCCCTGTTCAGTTTGTAAAGCTGGTGTAGGAAACAATTCAATCAAGTGTCAGCAGTGTAACCAGTGGTGTCACAAACGTTGTTCAAAAATAATTGGTACTTTATCTAAAGTGTCCAATTTTGTTTGTCCTGCTTGCATCAATCCACAACAACAAATTAGAAATAGCAATGTTTTTGAAGCCATTAAGGAAGAGAAAGTCACATCGTTTCAATATCTAGGAAATGTTCTGGATTGTACTGGAAGAGCTGAAGCTGCCGTTCGAGCACGCATACGTGCAGCCTGGAATAAATGGCATCTCCTTGCCTCTATATTGATGGTGACATTTGGAATTTAATATATGCTGATGATCAAGATTTTATAAATCTGTGATACGTCCAGTCTTGTTATATGGTGCAGAAACATGGCTAATGACAACCGAACTGGAACAACAACTTCACCGAATCGATATAAAAATGCTCCGATGGATGCAACGAATTAGTCTGAAGAACGACATCAAATCTACCAAAATCCTGCTTCTAAAGTTCTGATTTAGATGATATAAAGGACAAATGCCGGCAACACCGTCTGCGGTGGTTTGGTCATGTCAAACGAAGTAGAAACAGTGCTATAACTTCTCTTGAAGATGTTGAAGTACCTGTTGATGTGATATTGTTCTGTTAATGTGATACTGTTCTGTTTATGTTTTTTTTTTTCTAATATTGTTTTGTTGATGTCATACAAACCAGGTAGGAACTGTTTCGAACATGCATCCTCTTGTTCTGTGATATTTAGTGATGATTTATTCATTGCAGTAGACCCAGTCTGAAAAATTACAATAAATTACACATACAAAATATGAAAGAATTTACAGTATAATTATTTCACAAGTATTATTATATTTTAATTATTAATGAATCCTGTTTGATTCCATAGATCAAGCATACTTACTTGATTAACAGATTTTGAAGGTGATGTAGCAGCAGCAGGGGTAGAGATGTGCTTATCAGCCCCAATCCTCTGATCTACAAATGACACAAATGTTGCCTTGGACTTTTTTTTAAACATGGTTCAGCAAATAGGTAGCAATCTTTTTTACAATTTACTTTTTAGACTTTAGAATAATTGTTGGGATAGTTTACTTTCACAAAGTGCTATTTTTTGAGTTGATGCTGGAAAATTTGAAACAAAATTATACATTAAACAAAAATAACTGAACTAAAAATGAAACAAAGTCAACAGTGTCTGTAACTATTCTTTTTATGCAAAACCCAATCAGAAACTTCAGTTTACCAAATATCAAGTTAATATTATCTGATTATCAAATACTTTAAGTTAATTAAATTTTAAAGTTTACAAAAAGTAATAGAAAATAAAATTTAATTAAAAATTTAAATAAAATATAAATAATAAATAAAAAAAATTTTAATAATTTAAATTAATAACAATTATAAAATATTATAAATATAATTTACTAATTAAATTATTTTATTTATTAATACCATCAAAAATCAAAGAGATTTTTATTTTATTTTACTTTACCACACAAAAATTGAGTCTTATAATTTATTAACCAATATTTATTTTTTTATTTATTTAAAATCAAAGTTTTAAAATTGAAAAAAATAGCAATATAACAACTGTCATACTTTTTTTTATATTTATTTTATTAGTTCTTTATTTTTTTTAATAGGATCATAGAAGAGAATAGATATTAGATAGGGAAAAAATAATCAGTTTTAATTTTTAAATTTTAAACTTTATATACAGCAAAACTGTCACTCACTAAGTCAAACGACAGTCAAAAAATTAATTATTAATTAATTATCTAAAAAATTTATATATCTATAATTTAATTTAATAATGAGAAAACCGGAGAAAATAAAAACTAATGGATCATAAAACGCATTGAAACCACATCGCCATGTTTACTTTTATTCGTCTTCTTCAAACGTGATTAAACTAAAAAGCCAAACTTTTTCGCCATTGACTTTTTGCCAGAGGAGTAGTTATTTAAAAAATGTTTCAAACATACTCTCCCCACCTAACTTAGACCGTTGAATAAAAAGTGTAATTTAATGAGTTCTAATCAAAATGAGTTAAAATAATAAACAAAGTCTCAATCTAAATTATTTCCTAAGTGTTTATCAGATACTTTAATTGGACCTAAACGCCCTGGTGTACGATCTTCTTTTTGTTCTCACTTCTTATCAACTCGTCTCGTGTTAAACACTCTTTTGCTAAATCTGCACTTGCTTTTTTTGGCCCTTTTCTTTGGAACTCTCTACTTCCTTCTCTGACTAGTTCTCCATCACTTGCAAAGTTCAAAGCGGATCTCAAGACCCATCTGTTTTCAAAATTTATTGAGGAGTGCTGTTGAAAATCGCGGAAATAGCGCTTTATAAGCTAATTAATTGATTGATTGAAAAATCTGTTAACAAAAATTAAACTATAACAGAAAACTTAAGATTACTAACGGGCAACTAACAATTTTCGCCACCCATATGTCATCTCAATTAGCATTGATAAATCAATTGCACTGGATGTTAGTAGATCATAACATTAGAAAACTTGAGATAGTTCCAATTTTATCCATCAATGTTTTTTTCCATTATTTCCAATGCCTTCCCAATAATGCCGCGAACTGTAGAAAGATTACCTTGCCATTTATCAATTCCTGGATTGACCAATTTCCTTGTGATAAGTACCAATTCTTGCCGCCATTTTTCCAGTTCCTTAAGTACTTTGACAAGTTTTTTGATAGTCCCAAACTTCCAGAGTGCCAATTGTGAAAAACGACGGTAGATCTTTTTCCTGATACGATTTGCATCTTCTATCAAGTTTTCTTAACATCATAATTTGAAAGACTGTTTTCTTGTTTTTTTTTTGGAACCAGCTTTCTTCTCACTCAACCTATTTTTGCATTTGTACTTACAAGACAGTGTCGGATTGAAAGCTTAACGACTTAAAACTAACAATCTTCAATAATAATAAAACACTACGAGGTAACGAAGTGATTTGTGCGATAACTATTTTCAGAGGTATTCGGGCTGCCGATGAGTCCCCGGTAGGGACGAAACACGTGTCCAGTCCATCCAAACGAATACTATTCTTTTCTTCTCACGCTTACTGCTTTTCTTGGTTCAGTGTTCTCAAACATAAGCGCAACCGCAAGTGAGAAAAATCAGGCATGTTACCTAAAATTTGAAAATTGGGATTGAGAAGATGGGAAGCGATAACACTATTAGTTACCAATGTAGAGGTATACACTAGCAGAAAAGTTTACGGTTGGATCTGATTTCTTATTTTGAATTTAAATTCTAAGTCGTAATGATTTTTGAACAATTTAGTTGAGATTTTACTAAATGCGGTGCTGTAATGTTAGTAAAACCATAAAATGTGTCCAAATGTCGTTTAAATTAAAGACTTAAAAATTTTTATTACGTAATTTCAATTTATTTTAATTACCAATATTAACCAAAAAATGAAACTAGACAAGAACCTATCTAAATCGGCTATACATAATTAAGCAAGAAGACATTTATTAATCATTTATCAGCAGTCAATGAACACTGTCTGAAACAAGTGATAACAAAGTAAAAATAAATAACCAACAAAAAAGTTTCATCGTTCTGCCAGTTGAGCACATAAACGAAATGATATTTCCCAAACCCAACGTAGAATGAAAAAATGAATATGAAACTAAACTAAACAACTTACAATTCTTCGAATCAATGATATTTTCAAATTGATATAATCAAACAGAATGAACGTTTAAGCTTTATCTCCAGAAGATTTGAAAAAACTCATCAAATCCTCGACATCCTCCTTGGACCCCAGAAAAATGGGCGACCTCTGGTGAATGAGTTCAGGTTTAATATCGAGTATGTTGATGTCGCCATTTGTAGCCAACCCCCCAGCTTGCTCTATGATGAAAGCCATCGGAATGCACTCATACAACAAACGAAGCTGCATGAAGTGGAAGTTCAATTTATTCAAATATGATTGAATCATACTTGGGGCAATATAACGTAGAAAATTAATACTATGAAAAAACGATTTTTAAAATTATTCAACAGAATTTTATAAATCTTTAAAAAAAATATGAATAAAAAAGAAACGAAAAGCAGAAAATCAAAAACACATGGAAGAAAATATATATTTCCATAATTGTTACAGATCAAAATGATGAAAAAACCGTTCTAAAATAAGTACAGATAAAAAAATCATAAAACCAAAGAAGCAAGCAAGTGAACAAAAAAAACAAACCTTTCCTTTTGGCGAGTCCTTAGTGGCAGGGTATGCAAATATTCCTCCATACTTCAACGTTCTGTGTACATCTGCCACCATTGAACCTATGTAACGAGCTCCATATGGCGGTTTGCCACTCTGCTCATATTCATTTATCGTCATTTTAATCACCAACATCATCACAAACATCATCATCTTCATTAACGTTTTCATCATTATGATAATTATCATCGTGAAAAATGAACTCACCTAGTAATTAATACTCATATTTACACGACCATCATTAACATTCTTAAGATCAATCAACCTTATCAAAATTATTATCATTGTAATTAAAAATAAGCATTATCACCATTTATATCCCAATGGTTCATTTAAAATTAAGAAATAATCAGATTAAAGAAATATATATAGAGGAACTTGAAGATAGAGCAAAAACAGTTTATGACCAAATGTCACATAATTACATAAAAAATTAATGGAGGCAAACTTTCAAATAGGATGCATACATTTATGAACTAATATTCATTTATTTATCTGTATGTATGAACCTGCAAACACTTAAATGCATTATCACATCTTTGAACACCCGCACACACACACATGCGCGCGCGCACACACACATGCGTGCACACACACACACATATGTATATATCAACAATGAACATAAAAATAATTTTTGTATCCACAAAGTACCACCATCCTCATCGTAATTATTCACCTCTTTATCACCATCATCCTCCTCCTACCTTTGGGAACTTGAGACTGTCAATGTAGTCCTTGACCTGTTGTGGCCACATGGACGAGTACCCTTCGTTGATTGAATAAATTTTGCCTCGAGGTTTGATCTTCATCTTGCGATCGGTCAACAAAAACTCACCTATTGACTGTTTGAATATTTACATGAAAGAATGAAGCAGGTGAGTTAATTAATTAATGAAAATATACTGTATGAATATATTTATGTATCAGCGCCCAAATAAGCAACCAACTAAATAAACAACAACCAAACAAACATCAACAAAATAAGTGGCCAGGCAAGCAGGCAAAGAGGAAGAAACTCTCCAGCTAAATAAATGAGCCAGCCAGCCCAATTAATCATCTAACAAGTCAACCAACCAATCAGCCAACCTACCAGCTAGCCAAGCAACCGGCCAACCATCAACCAACTAACCAACCGGCCACCCAACACTAACAGGATCCAACAAGAACCCATTAACTCCATGTCCTACTGAGAGAACTAGCATGGTGGCACTACCATACAATGCATAACCAGCTGCCACTGCCTGTCTACCTGGCACGAGGATGTCTTCCTGCTTTATGCTATCATCATTTGGCTGGTGGTGGTGGTGGAACATTAATATATTCATTCAGTTTATTATCACGGTCATCATTGTTATCACAATAATCATCATCTTCATTGTCATCACTATTATTATCTTCAAGTCATTCAACTCCTTATTTTCATCATGATTACAATTATCATTGTTATCATCATTGTCATTATCTACAAGGTTATAATATTAGATATGTCAACATAATTTATCATTAATTTATTTATCATTATTCATTCATTTATTTTATTTTCAATTATTTATTATGTTTATTATTTCATGCCAAAAAGACACAACAAAGAACTAGCAATAAAGTGAAAAAGTAGCCCAACTCTTCGATAGATTGCGAATATAGTTCCAATGGATCCCAAACAATCGATGTTGGATGAACCATCCAGAGGATCAAATGACACCATGTACTTACCCTGAGTGTGTTTTTGCATTGTTGTGTCATTGCATTGTGTTTTTGCATTGTTGTTGTGTCGTTGAGTTGTTGTTGCAATGTGTTGTGTTGCAATGTGCCATGTTGCAATGTGTTGCCATGTTGCATTGGGCTGTTGCATTGTGTTGCAGCACAGCATTGTTGTTGTAATGTTGCATTGTTGTTGTGTTATTTTTTGCTGCAGTGTTTTATAAACCACATAATCATCAAGAAATTATTTTATTAGTAGCAACAAGAGCTTAATAGCATTACTTATATGATCATGAATACAAAAAAATCAGTAATAGAGTTCAAACATTAATTGACTCAGATGAAAAAGTAACAAATTAAAAAAAATGGTATGAATTGTTTAGAAAAAACCAGATGCTATGGATGATTTGAATAAAAAAAACTTCAGTTAAATATAGTCTTCTTGAGACTTAAGAGAACAATCTAATAAACAAAAATACATCATAATGAATTGTAAAAAAAAATTTTTAATCAATCAAGAAAGGATATTAAAAAATTTTGTCATATACAGAATTAATTTTCACAACTTTGAATCAACGTTTTGACAAAAATCAAATAAAATGAAACATGTAAAACGAATCAACCTGTTTTTCCAATTCAACTTCAATGACTGTTTCATTCTCTTCACTGACAAGCAGGCAAGTGGTGAATGAAGATTTCAACATGTTGATGAAGAGTTCATTTGAGAGAACATCTAACTTCTTAACTTCCTCTCCTTGCACATTTGAATTTCCAGTTATGCCGTATCTTTCCAATTAAAAGGTGTAATAATTCTTACAATTAACATATAACCTAACACTTAGTTCTTTAATACCCTACACTACAAAGTATAAATTTAAGTTGTGTATAAATATGAGGTTTGTAAATACATTTATTTAATACAATAATATTCAATTCAACGTGGTAAAAATTAAAAATATATATCAACATTACTAATGATAATATCACTAATGAGTAACAAAATAATATAATTAATTGCATGGTGCATATTTATATTTATCACTTGCAAAATGTAAGCAAAACATTAATTAAATTAAAAATAATTAAAAAATAATTGCTAAATTTAATTTTATTTAACTACAATTGAGCGATTCCAGCTCTGCGAACAGCACTAGAAATAGCTTTAATGGCTGTCAGGATGGCGTTGATCAATTGGGTCAAATCTCCAGTTGCAGACGGATGTTTTCGCTGTTCTGCCAACAGGAACCTCGTCAGAGTCATGCAATCAGTATCTATACCTTCGGCCATTCCTGTATCTAGTTTAGACATAGTGTTGTTAATAAAATTTGAATATCAGTGGTCAAATTTCAATTGTTAACAGTGTTAACACTTAATAATGTCTTAGTTTTACTTTCAACTTAATGTCTTAACTTCCTAAAAATTCTTAAGTCAGTCAGACTTCAGTCAGAGACACTGACCCATTGAGCTACTATTTGTTTTAAATTTTAAAAAAAGCTAAACAAATTACTAAAACAAGCATACAGAAGGTCGCTTGAAAAAAATACCTAACCTTTTAAACTTTTCGTCAGCAGCAGCAGAAATTAAAGAAGAACAAACAATATAATATACGAAGATCTTCTATACAATACATACACCAGCACATTA